ACAGGCTTATCTATATTAGTGGCTTCCCTATGCAGAACCAGATTGAGAAGAGCAAGGACACTGTTTCCTCCTGCAAGGAATGATGACTGCAATTTCTTCTTCCAGCTGACCATATAAAAGTTAAATGATCTTTTTCCCCAATAGCCATCTTAAAAGTCATAGTAATTGGTACAAGTTGGGTGTCTTGTTGAGGTTTGTGACCAGGAGGATTTTCCAAAACTTTAGAAAAAAATTACATTTAAAGGAGAAATAGGAATTTTTTGCAGATGGTACGAAGTTTTGAATGCTTGCTGATAAATACTCTGAGTCATCAAAAACTCTGAGCCTCATAAACACATGAAGCAGTAACAATCTGCACCCAGTGGCTTTCCTGTCCCAAAGAGATTAGCAGAGATGAGGGACAGGCTCATCTGAGCAAGGAGGTAAATTCACAACTCCATGGCTACAGCCACAAACTCAAGGGAATGGGCAGCACTGGAGATCATGCCCTGGTTCAGCTGAGCTCCTGGGAGCAAAAACCAAACCACCTTTTCAAACAGCAGTCATCCTATCCCTCCTAGTGCCCTACACAAAGCCCAGTGGGAATAGGAGGAAAGCCGTAAGAGCCCTGCACAGAGCTTCATCCCAAAGATCCTCAGGAGAAAGCAGTGCTCCCTTCAAATCAGCAAGGTCTTCAGACAAGAAATTGGTAGTCTTTGTATGGTGGAAACCAGAAGAGAAGTCTATTGCTCTTGCTCTCCAAAGCCTAGAGCTATCATTTAATGCTTTAAATAAAAGTCTTCTCAAAGCTACTCATTTGATTTTATTTTGCTTTGGTTATTCTGCAGCAAGTTTGACAACAAGGGCACTCTGCAGGACTGTGTGCATGGCACTTGTAATTAAAGTCAACGGGAGTTATGAAATCTTTAAAACCAGGCCTGGGTGGCTCAAGCCAGTAGCCCAAAATTAGAAGCAACATTTGAAAATGCAGTCATATTCTTTGTGTGTTTGTGTTACAGCATCACCTAGGGGCTGCAGCTGAGATCAATGCCTACTGCTCCTGGAGCTTCCAGGGGTACTGACAGACTTGGATGCTTCCTAATGCTCAGGTGTGCTGTAGTCATTGTCACAGAGACTGCACTGAACCAGGCTCTAAGCATTTCGATGAGAAAGTTCATCTGGTAGATTTATATGTACATATACAAACGCACACAACTATTTTATGCATTGTTTTTTGAGCAAGAACCACTAAAATACTGAACTGGAGGGCACAGCAGTTGTAGAACATACTTTGGATCACAGCCACAGGAATGCTGCTGCTGTAAATTCCCCTACTCTAAAAACATTAAGTAAGCCATCCAGCTATTTCATGATCATCTGAAAACTGAGATCCTCAAAAACGATGAAAATTGAACCCATGTGTATCCTTAGTATAGTCTGGCACTCACACTGTTGCTGATTATAGGAATTCAATGTTTATAATTTGCATTCTTTCCCACACTTGCTTTTTTTTTCTGCACTGAAGTAAAAACTCACTTGGTCTTACCATAATACAACTTAGACTGTTGAGGGCAAGACTGCTTCTTTGTGAGAAAAACAAAATCCAAGCATGAAAGACCAATTCTGGTCTTTTACTGAGAAATGATAGAAACAGGAGAAGATACAGTCCAAATTAAAGACACAGGAAGGAGCTGGAAATAAAAATCAACACCTCAAATTTCCAAAGTTCTTTGAGATAATCACGACTTGGACTCAAGAGTACAAAGGAATTTGATCCATTTTGCTGAGCAGCTGCCCAAAGTGGACAGGTCTCAAACATACAACAGGAGACTTGTGCAGGATCTACTCTTTGTGATGTTCTTCAGATGGATAGCGTAATTGCAAAAAAAGCAACAGCAGATCTAGAATCATCCAGAACCAAACAAACCAACCAAACCAAGGTACTTTCTCCAGACCCAAACTGGGTTCCTAGAGTCACCCTCATGGTTTATGCATATGGCTCTCAAGTACAGACAGGTTACTGGCTTCATTGGTAGAACAGAAAACGTGAGCAAGTCTGTGGATTATCTTCACACTGCCTGTGGGCAGCCCTCTGGCCCCAGCTGTGCTGACATGTCTGAAAGGTGTGCTACTCAGTGCAAAAAAAGGTGGAAGCAGCAGAGCCTGACTATCAGCTGGCTTCAGGGGGGCTCATGCAAATGAAAGCAGCACAGGAAGGCACCTGAGGTGCACCTGCAGCCACAGCACTGACAGAGGGGTGAGCAGGCATAAAGGTAACAGACCATGTACCCTGCTAGGCATAAGCCAGGAGTCTGGTTGTCCTTGTACCTTTCAGCCCACTGCACGAAGAGCTTATGGTTTTCTAGTCCTACTTTGAGTAACATGTAAGTGGCCCATTCCTGACCAGCCACGCTAAAGCAGAAGTGAGTCCAAAACACCCCGGGAAACTGCACCCTGAGGGAACTACATTAATTTGCTGAATTAGGACCAAGGCCTGCCATTATTCCAGAGAAGAAAACTGTGGTATGGATAAAGAAGGAAGATCACAACTGCAAAGGGAGCCAGAGTACTACAGGAAGTATTTTGAGCATTCAAGCAGCTCAGAAACCTGTGGTTAAAATTAATTGTGTGTTCCTTAGAGTGCTCCAGCATATACCAGAGGGAACAGGTGGCTCAGGAGAGTAGTGCTCAGGCCCATTAACAGGACAGAGCTGAATGTGAGCACTCGGACACTGAATTAGGCACACCAACACCTATTTCAATCATGCTGCCAGCTTTTGGCTCCACCTTCTAGTCTGGGCCAAATCATATGATCTTAATAGTGTGCAAGTTGTGCCTCAGGGTGACTGTGCACAAATGAAGCCACTAGGCCCATCTGACACTGCTGATTAAGCTCCACCCTCAACAGCAACTACCAAGACATAAAACAAAGATTGATCGTTCAAATGCAGTAGAGCTCCATGCTTATAAAGGAGCCCATTTTTGAAATGTTGCTTCTTACACGAAGTTTCTTCCATTGTTCCAATTTTTCCCAGTATTTTTAATGCTTTAACGAAGAATGAAAAGATAAACACCCTCCCCTCTTCTCTAATGTAGTAAGCAGTGTTCTGAGAGTGGTGGCTCCTATAAATTTTTAATCAGGTATTTTCCCACACTTCAGAAGAGGTTTACAAACTGAACACTTGACTTCAGCTGTTCTTACCACACTATGAACAAGCTTAAGTCCTTAGGTTAGGCTATCCCTAAGTTTCCTACTACTTTAGAAGGCCTCTCTGTAAACCAGAATTCAAAAAGATGTTGAAGGAAAGCCCTTCCCAGCAAATCAGAAAGTCCCAGTATTGAATGTCTGTATAGAGAAGGAACTGAAGTAGAAAAGGAAAGCTATGCTGCTTTACAAACTACACATCTGGCTCTGAAGAGCAATCAACAGCTCACAATAGCTCTTAGGAATAACAGAACTGGAAACTGCTGTTGTGGGAACTGTCAGCAGTGGAAGCCGAGGCAAAGTAATTTAGGCACTCAGTGGCACTTTGTACTGGCTGTTTACTTGGTGACAGCCTGTCCTGCAGTCCTTGTACAGGAGGCCTCGTTTCTTCTTTGAAGGTCTGCCATGACACCATCTTGCAACTCAGCTCTCCCATCCAACAATAAATAAAACCCAAAAAAGAACTAGTAAGACAAGAACTTATCCTGTACACTAGAAAAGCTTCAGAAATGATAATGTAACTGTTCTTGTTATCAGATCTGCTGCTCCAAAATAATAAATTACAGCAAAACCTTAGAGTGCACTGTAGGCTGCCCAGGAACCACCGCATTTGTTAAAATTCATTCACTTAGAATTAAACATAAGAGCTTCTAAAGGCAGTATGTCAATTTCCCATGCCTTACAGGTACAGACAAACACACATTCCAGTGCCATGGGTTGATTTACACAATTATTGCAAAATACAATACTTTGCAATCAATACAAAGCAATTCTATTCAAAAATTATTAAACATGTGGTAACATCTGTGTCCTCTTGTGATAACAAAGCAAAACAAAAAGTTTTAACAGCTGGAACATCAAATGATGATCTTCACAGAAGAGTAACAAAAGAATTGGTCGAAGCCATGCTCAAAATATTTAATAAGATGTGGTGTATGATCCATGCAGCAACCTTAATACTGGAATTCAGTACTCAACATGAGCTCTGATTCATTGTATAAATCTATTTTTAAACTCTCAATTTTTATTTAATCTACTACTTCAAGTTCTTGCCACTACCCTCTGCTTACACCCCGCTGCCTCAAATTAGCCTCCCTTCAATGACTGACATTGATGGACAGCCTCTGGAGGGCCAACTCCAATCTCTCCACAGCAGCAAGGGAGATTACTGGAGGACAGAGAAAAGGAAAGAATATCAGAAGCAGGAAAGCAGGAATGAGAGGTTGTGGCAGAACAAGTAGTTTAAAACAGGACAGCACATCCATGACTGTTACAAAACACTGTTCAAGCAGCAGAACTCACACATGGATGCTTGTTGCTAAACAGCTCAGTGATTTGTCATTTATAGGTGTTACACACATACAGAATTCAGCAACAGCACAGTAGCTGATAAAACTGAGATCACTAATTTTACAGCAGTGATCAAAAGCACCTTTCCAATGCCTTCCAGTGCAAAGCTCACATCCAAAGAGATGGGCTGAAAATACAGTTGTCAGTCAGTGGAGGACTTGTAAGAACACATGAGAATTCCAGCCAGAACTGCTGATGGAGGAGACAAAGTGCCATTTACCAAGCAGCACTTGAATAGTTTACTTATGTTTCCCTTTTCCCTAGCAATCTCTCTTTTAAAGTAAAGAAAGAAAAAAACCCAAAAACACAAGGAAAAAAAAACCAAACCACCAACTAAAAAAAACCCCAAAAACCCCCAAAACACCCCCAAAACAAATAACTAAAAAACCCAAACAACCAACACCCTCCCAACCCCCCCAAATGAAACACCACACAACAACCAAAAAAACCCAACCAAACACAAACATTTAAAGTAAAAAGACTTAATTGGAAATAATTTAAATGTGTTGTCAAACAACATTTTTTCAGAACAAAGCTGTTGTAATAGTGTACAGAAGTCAGCTTCCATCAAGATGACACTTCAATATTTCTCTTTCCAGTATTTTTAGGGTGCAGTTCAGCAATGTGAGCACCAGGCCTACATGTACAAAACATGTGCTTGTCCCCAAGGCAGGTAGATGACATACTTCAGCATCTGTTTACACATGTAAGCTTTGTATACATAGTTGGTGTGTATGCCCCTTGCAAGTACAAAATAGGCTCTCACACTGGAAAACCACAGTACTTAAAATACCCAAACCATTAGATTTCAAATCTCTTGCTTTGGTATTGAATCAATAGAAAATTTACAATGCCATTCTTCAGTCTTACACAGACTGAGTTTTTAACCAAGGAAATAAAAGAAATAACATGTCTCAGTATCCAAAGAAATCTACAAATACATTCATCAATATGTAGTACATTACAAATACAAAGGCAATATATGGAATTGCTATAGTATGAATAAAAACCAAGTAGTTGTAGGAGAGCCTGAAAGTCTCCCTAACGTATTTTTTCATGTAACATTAAATGTCACTGTGGCAATGATGATACAGCAGCTCCTACTACATTACTTTCCAAGCTGTACACTCCATGTTTGATTGAAAAGCAGGGTAGGAAATTAAAGGCCTCTGAAGAGCTCAGCAGCAACACTTAAGTGCATTGAAAACATTGATAATCTGTGGCACATAGGAACTGATGGATTACACAGGATACTTTCTTCTATTTACAGTATCATACACTTGCATAAAAGTCTCTGCTGTATTTTTTCTTTAGTACCTAGCCTGTGGCAAATCACAGTAACATTAGTCAAAGAAAAAGCAAATCCTATTTTCTCATAAAGACTAAGTAACTAATGGGTATCACTTATCCTTGCTTAAGCTACCTACCCACCCCTCTGAATGCCTTGAATCCCAAAATTTAATTGGCACTAAAACATTTTGATAACTTAATACAGAAACTGATTGCTCATGATTGCTTACCTCTTGACTTAATCATTACATTCACTGCTGGAGAATTATCCACTTTGCTAGATGTCACAATTAATATATTAAAAAAAACCAAAAGAACACTCAGACAAAAAGTAAATCACCCCTCTCAAAAAAAAAACAAATTGCAAGAAAGAAAAGAGAGACTTTGCTTTTGAGTATCTGATGCATGACAGGAAACACCAAGGCAATGAGCTCTATCACATCATGCTGCCTCTCAGACACCAAACACTACCGCAAGTCTCCACAAATAATTGTGTTTATGGAGATAGTAAGCAACTCAGCTTCAGCAAAAAACTGCCTTATCACCAAGCTCAGTAGGGCATCTGAGCCTTCAAAGCAGTTTCTGATATCAGTCTGAAGACAATAGGATTTCTGGGTCAGCTAGGATGGAAGCAAATAGAAGTAGGAAGAAAGATTGCACACAATGTGGCACAGATGAAAAAAAGACATATTTACACTTGAAAATGCAAAACACACTACAGTAGAGGAGGAAAAACAATGAAATAACATGACCTTTGTCACTGAGGACAGGAGGCATGGCCCTCTACTATGAAGCAGATTTTTATATATGTATTTTAAAAACTTTTAAAAATTGAATGTGTGTGACTCAAGCAGGACAATGTAGAACAAAAAAATCCCTGTGTTTGAAAATCAATTTCACATCCTTTACAAGAAACCTGGACCCATTTCCTTCTTGGTTAAACCCTGACATAAGGCCTAAAGAGCCTTTAAATAAAAGCAAGCAATATGAAATTTTTAAATACTTACTAACAGTTGCATGGGAAAGTTTTGTTGTGAGACTGAGAAGGAAGGGCAGAGCTGCTTTTAGTCAAAGGGTTGCATACTCTTCTAGAAAACAACACAATAAACCAGACCAAAAAAAATTCAGTCAACTACACCAACTCACTATCAGTTTACTAACCTTTGGGTTGAAGTCCTCAACTAATCTATTAAAAATGGCCTTGCAACACCTGAAAACAAAGCAGGGAGTACCTGCTATGATAAAACAACATTTTTTTCCAGTATACCCCTCATGAACTTTTGATGCCACCTACTGATGAAACTAGATATATATCAGTGAATGGCAAGTGTCATCAGGCAACAATTTATATCAGTGAATGGCAAGTGTCATCAGGCAACAATCTGCACTACACTGGTGGCTCCATCTTCATCATCCTTCTCTTCAACACCTCCTTTTTTAAACTTTAATTTAAAAATCAATCTTCCATTTGATAATTCAGAGCCAGGTCAGATCTTCTTTGTCACTTCTGGTCACACTGTAGGATATCTTTAGATACCACTCTTATTTCTTGCCAATTCCATTTGATACTTTTGATTTGGAGTGTCGATTCCTCCTTCTAGATGAATGGCTTTCACTATTGACTGAGTGTTTTGGTGGACTATTGTCAGCACCTGCTGAGAAATAAATATCTATTTAATACATATATATATTTATTTAGGTGACATTGTCAAGCTCCTATCCAAAAGGCAGTAAGGCTTTTTAGAGCTACAGTGTTAACAGTATGGATTATTTCAGGCTAATACAAATTGGTTGATACTTGTACTCCATCTAGTGGCCTAGTTTTTTTAAAGCAATTCTTAAGACTCCTGTAAAATTCTTCCCCCGCTCCCCCCCAAAAAAAATTTGAAGTTTGCTATAGCAGAGTACAGTGGTGAAACATCCTCCAATTTAAATCATATCAATAATTAAACTTCCCCATTTTTCTTAGTGGCAGAAATTAAGAATTATTTAAGCAAGCCTTAAATAAGAGCAAGAATTATTTAAGTAAAGTCTTAAATAAGACTTTAAGCAAAGTCTTTTAAGAGTACACGTCTGGACTTCAGTCTTTCAAATGACAGAATATGTTTTATTCTGAGAAAAAATGGGAGGCAGTGGGCACAAAAACAAGAAATCAAGAACAAAATGTGAAAGAAGCTTGAAGCCTGTAATTATTGAAGTAACAGGAAGCTACAGAGAAGGGTTTTTTTAGTCAGATTTTTCCAGCATGCATAAATGGAAAAAACATTCTGAGTGCAAATCATTTTTCTCCAAAATATAAAATTCCACAAATTTACTAAACTGAGAATAAACAGCCAGAAAAATCATGTATGAAATATAAAGAAGATCTGTTTTAGCTGCTTTTCAAGCTTATGATAAATAAGAAATATTTTTAATTTTATAAACACCTGGAACATAAACTCTGACAGATAACTTCCAGGTGTGAATTTCTGATATATGTTCAATAAGCAAGACCACACCAAAAGACCTATGGAGGAGGCAGATAATTGACCTCTAGTGTAGGGAAAAGAAGTCAGAAAGAAGCTGCCTTTGCTTAGTGCAGAGAAAGCTGCTTATGACCATCAGGACTGCACTGACAAGGCAAAAGTCAGTAAGAACACAAGCTCCAGGGCCCATTGCTGACTATTTCTTAGCAAGAAGAAATAAAAGTACAGCAAATCAAACATGCAATGCTCAGAGAGAAAACCTGCTCACAACAGTTATGAAATGCATAATGCCCAACACCTACAATAGTGGCCTGGAGTAACAGCAGAAAAAATCAGTTGACACATTAAAAAATAAATACATTTCCAAGAATCAGAATTTAAAAGTGAGCAAAGAAAAATAGCTCTGTAGATGATTTATCTGCATTGGTCCTGCAAAGATGTTAAAGCAAGTCCAGCTGAAACTAGGTAAGTTTCTCAAGCCTCATTTTCTAGACCTGAGCCTTAATTATACCATCTAAGGAATACAGCTACAGAAGTACCAATACCTCTGCTGAATTTAGAATGAAGCCAGGAAGCATCTGGACTGTATGGACTGTCTTCACTTTCTGATAAGGTCTGCAAAACAAGGACACATGTCATTGGGATGCTGGTGATTCATGTTATCAGTACTCCTCCCACTTGCAAATGGACTTAGAAACTGTAGCAGAAGTCCTCATAAAACATTCAGACAGTACTTTGGACTTTTCCCTTCCTAGTTAGAAGGCAACACATAGATGATACAGTAGGAACTCACCACTTGCCATGTGATCTGTTGTGTAACCAAGTATTCTTAATATTCCCCTAGCATTCCACCTGTACAATGGGAACATTAGCTAACCATTCATCCTTGAACACTGTGCTAAAATTACGACCTCATTTTGAGTAACTAAGAGGACAGCATTCTTTAGAAACCACAGTGTAATTTGGGATCTGTCCAAGGCCTGCTGAATTCAGAGTTCTTTCTCTTGACTTCAGTTACACTCTAGACCATCCCCCCTTATCCCTATTTATGCTAACTCTGGTAAAGAATTCCAAAATCTAGGAGCTTTGGAGTCTTAACTCTGGAATGAAAAAAAGCCAGGCTTCTTTTATATAAGTACCTTTTCTCGGTGGCCGTAGTACTCTGCATACCAAACCATTCCATATAAACACAGGAAAGTTGTAAAGGCCTAAACAAGGGTGGAGAAGAAAAAGAACAACAAGAAAAACAATCTGTAAAACTTTTTCCAAATTCCTTGCTGATTCAAGGTCTCAGAGTCCCTGGAGATGCCACATTTAGACTTTCATGCTCTGTTTCTCCCTGCATCTTTTGTCAGGATGAGTAAGACTCATGTGTCAACTTCAAGCTACACACAGAGCCTGCCACCATGGGGTATGCAGAACAATTCTCAATGGAAGCCCGAAAATACATCCAGATCACCCACAGGAAACACTGCCAGCAGGATTTCTGTCCACACTCTGTACAGTCATCACACAAGGGCTGGTAGGCACTTGTAGGTATATTAACAGGAACCACCAGACTGGGAGAAAACCAAATTCTCCTTCTCTGCCCCATGCTTCAGGCTAGGTTACATACTCGCTTTCATGGTACTCTGATCTGAGAAGCAATTCAGTACTTCTCTCCTCTGAAGTAGCAGGAATAAAATCACCAGGCTAAATAAGAGAACAATAAATTCTGACTCCCCATCACCTGTTCAAACTGTGTTCCCAATTAGAAGGGAGAAGTATTTATCTGTCAGCCCATTATAAATGGCTTCTTTTTCACTGACTGTGAAAAATGTGCTTGGCATCAGAGTTACAAGTCTGGCAAGACAAACGTCCATTTACTGTTATAAAATGGGCATTTCATGCTGCATTTGCAGTAATCACACTGAAGTACAGAAAGTTACAGGCTTAGTGAGAATGATTTGCTTGATAAATGAGGGTTGTTTATGTAGTTGTAAGACTTCAGTGTGGCACAACACACATTGCTTATTAACACTATCCATTAACTCCTGTTCATTTCCAGCAGGCACTACAGCAAGCCCCACCAAAGCTAGGCTCAATCAAACTGACATCATCTCTCACAAAGATAAAGCTTCCTATAACTACTGTTTGTTTCATTGTTAAGCACCAGTAATCTGCTATGTCAAGAAATGAGAAGTTATTCTAGTCCCTTCAATGTGAGTTCTAAGCTATCTAGCATTTGTTTTTACTAGGACATGCATAAGGCTCTTTACCAGCATTGCCCTACAATGATCCCCTGCTGCCAATGTTCCAGGGAGGAAGCTATTTAGATGCTTTCAATGCTTTTGTCATGCTTTATGTTTCACATGAGAAATTTCACTTACCACACAGAGAAGCCAAAACACAACATACAGTATTTGTGTTTTGGAAAAAAGATCTTGTCCAAACTTGATGCACACAATAGCTTCAAGGAAGGCAATTACCCTGTGGGTAAATGAAAGCAGGGAGGAGAGTGATTAAAAACAGTAAGGATTTAACTCACATGTTCACAACTCAGACCCCAGACTGTCAGCTCTAAACAAGCACTACCCTCTAGTGAGCACTCACCTCCCTGACACCTCCATTAACTGAAACTCTGACAAATGCAATTTTCTATCTATACTTTTCTCAGCATAAACAGCACACAAAAAGTGATTGACTGGCAGTTCACTGTTCCATGGGGCTCAAGGGAACAAGGAGTGTGTGCCAATAGCAGAGAATCTTCAATTGCGCCTACCACTGTGCTTCAGTTCTCACCACATATGAATTTCTTTTCCATGCTGAACACCCAACAGACTCCCTTGATGGATGAACTAGAACTGAGCTTTGTTTATTTCTCTACCAGATGTAAATTTACTGCAATTCTAAATTGTCTAGTTTGTTTGCTTCACATGTATTTCCCATATTTTCACATATGAGAAAATTCATGTGAAACAACATTTCAAATTCTCTGAGAACCCATGCATTTGCTCTGGTTTATCTGTAAACTCAGGTCCACACAACAGCTGCAGAGGATTTGGGGAGAAATGTGAGAGGAAAAAATGCAGTTTTTACTTTCCTCTCTGACATTAAAAGGATCAAAAAAAGTATCTCAATCTCTCTCTCTGCTACCAGGTGTTTACATCTTTTCAGGTTCAACGCTATGAAGGCTTTTCCACTACTTGTTTATGAATCCAAAGTTTCTATTGTTTGCCATGAAAATAAATCTAGTTTGTATAGGTCCTGAAGAGAAAATTAGGTAGGTTTAACAATACAAGTGTAGAAAAGTGACACTAAAAACCTGCATTAAAAGTGCAGGAAATTGACTCATCTCAATCTGAAGCAAATAATGAAAAACACTATTAAATTTAAAGTGTAATAGTTAGCTTGCTCAGTAGAGGCTTTAAGGTTGTACATCTGAGCAATGCATGAAAACTCCTCCTCACCTATGTGCAGACACACTTAACATCACATCAAGTGTTCTACTCTCCCAAGCTTGACACTGCAGGACACATTCCCTACCAGCACTCTCAATAACCAGTTCACAAAAAAATGGCACTACTGCCTTTCAGGGAAGACCCAGTTTCCCCCACAAAAGAGGAAGGAAAATGTGTGCTTGACTAAATCACTGGCATTGCAGAGATGGTCCTGGTATAAGTAATAAATCACAGCTTTCCTTGTACTATTCAATGTGACTTCCAGCATGATATATGGGGCCAAAACTTAAAAATGTGGCAGTAACACCCAACTGACCAATACACAAATCAATGAGATGCATATTAACAAAAAATTGAGAGCAGTATTATTCTCTTTAGTAACTATTTTTCCTTCTTGGTTTTGTATTATTCTTACTGATCCAGCTGCAGAGTAAGAAATCATGAAACCAGAGTGAGAAGAGAAAGATCACCATCAGGAAACAAGCACAGGGTTATGATACACTCAAAGGCATAAACAAAACTATAGGCTATTTTTAATAAGGACTCCAAAAATACAGCTGTTTGCCCTGAACTTATACATTCTGTTATTCCTGTCAAGAATACTTGGGTTAAGCACATTTTACAATAGGAAAGCTATTATAGCTGATGAAAAGAGAAAGAAGGATGCTAACAGTGAAGGGTGTTAGTGTCCTACTGAAGGGGAATGAGAGCACTCCATAGAAATAAATATGGTTAGTTTTCTTTCAAGCAAAATCGTCTTGTAACATTCTAACAGATTTTCCTTTTTGAAAGGCTTCATCTTAATGAAAATAGTGCAATTTCAGCAAGACTGTTGCACTGACCTTGTTCATGCTTTACATCACTTTATATCTAACAAGAGTGATGCAATAGTTATGTCAAGTTGAAAGGAAACAGTTTTGTACTAATGAAAGGCAGTAATTTTAATTATATCCATAGTTAGGCTGCTTAAAATCCCATTTGTGCCTTTCGAAGTGTCTTGGTTACCACAGAGATGAATGTTCCATATACTTCTTTTAATTGCTTCAGAAATTATATTCTAGATAGTTACATTACTGGAAGATTTAATCTTTTTCTGCAATCAACAGGCATTCCTAGTGATGCTCTGTTGTTTCTAGCAGATTACAGAAGTAAGCAGTAGGAAGGAGAACACTTATTCCATACCACTTCCCATTATTAGATCAGACTGTGGGTGAATGTTTTATTGCAGTAGACAATAGAAGCAATCCTGCAGACATATCTGGGTATCTATTTATTGACACATGTTACATTAATGTGTTCAGTGAGAGCTTTGGACCAAGGCTGATGGGTTCTGTAGTCCTTAACAATTTTTCAGAAAGCAACCATGCAAACTCTTCATTTAAAGGTATTCTCTAAGAGAAAAAGAGATTGCAGTCAAGGTCACCATGGCTCATAGTACACTCACAGAAACAGTGGATAACCATGGCTTGTTTCACTGTCCTCTGCTGTGATGCTGCTAACAGCAGCAATGCCCACCTTGGCAGCCAGGGAAACTTCACCCTCACAGCCATCAAGCTGTAGAGGTAAGAGCTTTTTCCTTCTCACCTGACTAAGAATATGGACAGAAAGGCCAATGGTGCTTTGAAAGAGCCTAGCTTTATCCACCAGCTCCTAGTTATTCCTTCTGTTGTCCTTACTCCATTACTTCCCATGTTCTTCCTCCAAACTCAGAATCTCCCTTTCCTCTGAACTTGCAAAACCAAAACAAGACAAGGCTTCATGGGAACTGCCTGTTCCTGTGCTGGACCCATCCTTGACACTTGTCCAAGTGCTTCAGGAATGCAGCAAGAACACTTACCCAAACACCCAGCACTGAGTTCCCACCCTCTTGCACTGTGTGTCTGTGAGGTAAGCATAGTATTGCCTGAGAAGGGAAGAAAGAAAATTCTTCAGTGAAGTTGAAAGTCCTCAGAATATTTACATTTAGAAAAAAAATTATGTCACACATGTATCTATAGTGAAAATGAAGTGCTGATGGTTAAATTCACATGCAATCATTCTGGATGTCTACCACATGGCTTCAATTCTCATAGGACAGATTATCACATATATCAAATAGCTTGAGACAACACAGAAAACAGAGAGCAAGGACTGAGAAAGTACCCAAACTAGTAGGCTAGCAACATTTGTCTCCTGCCTCTCCACAGTCTCCAATTCTTATAGAAAAACTGCAACAGTTTCAAAAGAATTAGAGAATCCCTCATTTTTTTTCCACAGTTCATCTTTAATTTATTAACAACCACATTTTCTTGAGAAATGTGGGCTTGAATCTTTAAAGAATATAGCTATTCCATATTATGTTTGAATGGTCTAACCACTGGCATGTTTTCCTCTCAAGAACAGTACAATTTTTCACTATTCTGAAAACAGTACGGAGGCCATTCTGCTCTGCCCTCTATGCTCCAGAAATTTAGGAGTTTTGAGAGGGGAATTCCAAAGAAGTGGAATCAAAGTTTCTGTTCTCAGGTTCTGATTTCTACTGACAGATGGAGAAGACAAGTGTTATTACTCCAACAATACAAGGACTGCTAAAGAATAAAGACTTCTACAGGAGTGCAAGTGCTACAAGGGAAAAAAAAACCATACAAATTCACCTATACAGGAGCTCACAGGGTATTTTGGGTGATTTAATTAATAGTGTGAAATCACTGCACATAACTTAAGACACTATTTGAGGAATAAACCAATTCATGGCTGCCATTTAACTGTCCAAGGTAACATCACTTTGGACATGAAAAGGGAATTCTCTGCTTCTAAATTCAGACCTGTGTGCATTCTGTCTACCTCCAACCATGGAATGGGGAAAAAAAGAAAATTAAGGAACTTTGCCAACAAGGTAAAACAGCACGCATGACCAAAGACAGATTCATGTTCCTATACAGCTGTCAGTGCTGCATAAATATTGCTCTGTTCTCACAATAAGCTACTGCTCAATCACAATCAGGAGCTGTTAGAAAAATCAACAGCTCTGGTTTTCCTCATGTACACTTTTGGGAGCACCTGACTCATTAACTTGAATACTTTCACATGCAGTCCTCAAGGATAACATATGCAGCTACCTCACAAAACAGGGAGATGCTACACAAACAGGAGAAGGAACAGACTGGCTCTGCATCCCTATGGCAACACAGTTGTTATGTACATTTTACCTCAGTTTATTTGTGAGGAAATACATTTTATTGACAAGAGATTATTGTTTTGCATTTTACGGTGGCAAAAGCATAGATTTGTGAAATGTGCCATACTTATTCACAAACTATATGTAGTTCTTGAATGCCTAGAAGTTAAATTACTTTAAACTGAAAAAAACACTGAAGCAAAAAAATTACCTTACAGTGGGTGCTGTAATGATTCCTATGAAGAGAATTCTCCCCCAGCTTAAAGGGTGGCTTGCTTGGAACACAAAGATATGTTTCAAAAAGAATGTGTTCAACTCAGTTAGCTAGATCAAAAAAAAAGCTAGTTAATAATGTTCAACTTACATAATTCCTAATGAATTAGTACAGAAAATGTGCAAAGATTAATATGGAAACTAAAACATAAGGAATTCCAGCTGTCTTCCAGCAGGACAAGCAAGTAATATACTAGTAAAACAAAAAATTCTCCCCTAGAAACCTCTATCAAAGTATTTTCTCTCTTTCCCAAAACTATTTAAGGGACCAGACATTAATTCACCCTGTAGAGATCTTCTGATAGCTTGCATATCCTAAATCAAGTACAAATAACCAAGGCAATTTTGGGAGAGAAGCAGAAGAGATTATACATTAAAAAAAACCTTCAAACAACTATATCAAATTTTTATGGTTTTCCTTTAAAACACTAAATTAAGATTTTTTTTAAAAAAATCACAGAAGTTTTAGTTTTAAGATTTTAAAGCATTTGTGACACACTATAGTCTTGCTGGATCAGTGACAGTATTCTGAGTATCACTGATCCGTTCAACAGTCAATGGGAAATGAAAAAAATCCAAGAAAAGCAAAGCAAAACAAACAAACACACACCCCCCACACAAACCAAATTTAATCTCCTGTCACATCAACACAATAAAATAAAAATAAATTAAAAATCCACCACCAAACTCTACTGACTAGCAGTTTTTAAATCTGTGTCAATTGCAAAAAGCCAATACAGCAATCTGTAACATTTGGCTTTTTCTACAGATTCTGTAATTACACTCTTGTACTACCACATAACTCCCATGAAAGTGCTCTGTCCAATTCCTCATCATCACTTCATTTAAGTGTGTACTTCAGTAACAGACACACAGTCCATCAGAATATTTTTTAGTCCAACATAGGCAGCAAGTAACTGAGCTGATGGCAGCTCTGATTTCACAGAATTGATTTCTTACCTGCCAAATAATCATGAAAAGGTAGACTCCAGCCACTCTCTGAAATGAAGACTTTGGGTCAAACCAGCGGACGTAGGTCCAGCTGGCTGGGGTGAACTGTAACACAGCTCTTTTGATCTTCCCTGTGGTTGTGTGAATGTCCCTGGGAAAAATAATGCATGCAGTAAATACAAGGAATATGCCAGAAGGAAAAAAAAACAAAAAAGCAACAGCTCTGTTATTACTGATGTTTCTGAGGAACAATCACATTTGTTTGGTCAGCAGAGATCTTCTCAGACACAACTATGTACCAGGCAAGGGGGGAATTCAGAAAAATAATCTATTAAGCATTTCAGTCAAGGTGTGTATTTTGCTAGCAAAGTCTGCCCTTCTCTATCCTCAGTCAATAACTCAGTAACTAACTACAAAACACATTTATCATTCTCTTCACAAAGAAACAAGGACAGCAATTCTGCAACTTCCTTGGAAAATCTAGAGCCTATTTCTTCCTAGTTTATGTTGCCACTGCTCTTACCCGAAACACTCCTTGTTCTAGAGCTCACTGACATCAATCCTTCAAGAATCTCTCAGATTCATTATTCATTATTTGTATTAGGGACTGGCTCCACAGTTTGATAATAGTACACCTCCAGCACACATAAGCCCTGCTATTCTGATAGCAGATGCATGTGGACCTCCTGGAGAGGAGTGATAACACTTTTAAAAGCTAGAAAGCACTTAAATTCCATTTCAAAAGGGAATTTTAATGCACATTCATCTGATGTGTTAATGATTCTTGCTTTTGATAATATTAATTCAGATGAGCAACAGCATCCAAAGGACACAGAATCTAAGAAAAACTCAGAGCTTCCTCTTCTGAAGGAAGACTAGCAGGACTAGAAGACATTTTTCACCTTGTTATTTCTCTGGCCCTTCTAGACAAAAAAAAAAAAAAAAATCCAAAAAATTCTCAGATTTGATAATTCCAATATTTGTGTTCTTCTAGGCTCGAGAGAGGTTAGATTAGGGAGAACCTTATAAACTTTAAGATATGTATTTATTAAATGAAAAAAAAAAAGGAAACACTAGAAGGGCACAAGCAAAAGCTTCTCATTCTCATGAAGCAGCATCTTCATGTTAAAGGTCAGAAAAATCTACTCATGCATTTAAAAGAACATGAGGAAAGATTATTACACAAAGACAGTAAAGACTAGTTGTGCCATAGATAGTCTGCTGTTTAAACTTTCAGTGAGCCCCTCTAAAGACAGAAGGACCATCAACTCTAATGGAAATGCAGGAGAACTGAATTCAGACTAAAGGCTGGATGGTTCTTTGAGTAATTAACAAATCTGTGGGTAAAAAATAAAGCAGTACAGAAATTCACACAAGGTACAAATTTGGAAGTCAAGATCTGAGTTCCTTTTCCCTCTCTCAAGGCAATTCGCTGCACTTGACCCTGTTTCATGCTTACCATTGGTAATGTGCAGATATCCATGCTTGCTACCAGCTAGCAGGGAAGAAGGCAGGAGAGGGGCAAAAAGCTATGGAAGAAACCTCAACTGGACAGCTAGGAACTGACATACTAGGCCATAAGCTGTTGCCCTTTTACACAGCAAATGCGTCTTTATTTTACAATTACTCCATTTATTTTAGAAGGTCAGCAATGAGGTAAAGCAATTCCCAGCACAGGTACCATCAGCCCCATGCCTCACTGCAATTACTAGTGCTGACAGATTGCCACACTAATGGCTCACCAAGGTGAGCCCAAATCTACTTTAAAAATGTAGGATGAGAAAACAATCACAATTTGTTTTGCTCCCTGACTTCCTCAAAGTTTTATGCATACAAAATAAACTGAAATTTACTGCTTTGTATTGTCCATTGGCATCAGTGCTTGTAACTTGAAATTGCAAAGGAAAATCATATACAGAGTCACATTTACAAACATATACATACAGGAACATTACTATGACACTGATATTCAACATATAAAATAAAATTACAGCACTGTTAGCACAGGAAGATTCCATGCTATTTTTTTACATGCAAAACAATGCTTATCAAGCTTTAATTTAGACCTACTTGAAGCTTGCCCAGTGATAGGTCCTCATCTCCAAGAAACGACAAACTACCATGCCCAACCAGATGCCACCCCCGTTACAAAGCAGGATGTCCAAAATGACTTGATCCCACCAGCATTCAGCAAAATTAGGCAGAAGGTGCATGAAGAAGAGCTATAGAATACAGCAAAAAGACTCTGGGTGAGGAACAGCACAAATTTAATATAAATTCACTTTTAAAGTACACATTCAAAAATCAGCTTTTCAGTACACAGCATACTTCAAAAGGGCATGAGCCACAGCCACTGAAATTTGATGGACATCCTTCCATGAACTTCAGAAGGCCTTGAACAGAATCACACAAGGCATCAGAGGTTTCCTTCTCACTGTTTCCTGTTGAGGCTATGCTGTATATAAGGATATCATGCAGCCCTTGGCTTCTCAAAGATGATACACAATACATTAACAGAAATATATGAAACAAACACAACAACTGCATTTCCTGGAGGAAATAAGGTGGTTTGTGCTTTAAAATATAAAATTAAGAGAATCTTTGTTTCATTTTTGCTAAATAGTTTTAACTAGTATGTTTGCTAAACCAGCAACAAGATGCAGCAAGTAAAATGGATGCATTTGTAAAAGCTGTCAGTACTAAAGCATGGCGGTGTTTGGGACATAGGACTTCTTTATTTCCACTCCATTTTCAGGAAATTTAGTGACTGTAAAAATATTAGGAGTTCAACAGCATTTCAGCAAGTTTTGCTGCTATACTTAATGCAGAATGGCTCAAGAAGTTAAGAGGACATTCCACTCCACTGATGCAGTGAGGGGAACAACTGGCCAGAGTTAAGGCAAGATATAAATATATTTTACCAAGAGCTAGAAACAGGTTCACTGCCTCTCTCTCCTTTAAGAAAAATAAATTTACTTTCTTATTCTATGAGAAAAATCACTGCAATTAAAAAAAAAAATAGACTGGAGAAGTTACCTATGGACAGGAAATCAAGACAGCCATGTGTTAAGCAGTCCCTCTGCAATACTCAAGGAGATAATTAACAAAATACATAGCAAACTAAAGAATTTACCTCCACAAACACAGTGCAATTCTTGTCAGTTAATGTACGTACATTGTGGCTGTGGAAGATTATTGGTATGATTTTGTAATAAAGTATCTATTCTTCAGAGATGTAAGCATAAAGTACTGAAAAAAATCAGATTTGAGAAAAGGAACAAGGATGTTTTCTGTATACAATAGGAATGAATTCTGACTCATTTACAGTACATTACAGTGACTAATACTGGCAATGACAATTCCTGTGAAAACTCTTGCAAAAATGTATCAAATGCAGTTGTTTTTCTTTGAACAAGCTACGTGGATTTCAACCTTTACAAAAAGAAAACTTGACTTTCTCTTCAGGAACCAAGTGATACAGTGTTGTTCATTGTCCTGGTAAAGTTTCCCTTTCGTATTTTTAATTAATTTTGCCTGAGAGGGGCAATAGTCTATAAATGTCAGTAACTTCCAGGCAAAGACACCAGAAGTAACAGATAATGAGGCAGCAAGACCCAGAGCAGGTGTTAGCCTGACAGCCTCTAAGGTTCTCTAGCAGCTTTCTCACAATGAGACACCAAGGTCTGCCTGTTCCCCAACTTTAATCCAAAAGTATGGAGCAGGAGCCAAGCTTCCCATTTCAGAACAAGGAGCTGGCTGCAATCCATGAATGCTAATAGGAAATACTCAGTTAAATCCCTAAGTAACTGCCCTGATAACTTCTGGAGGTTTCTAATTACTCTCCTGAATTATCTGATTTATCAAAAATCCATTTGAGTGGTGATAACATATCTGTGTTTTGAACCTTGTCCAACACATTATCCGTTCCAATAATCTGCCTTCCAACAAGGGGAATATTAGACACCTGATGCTGTATCAAATTGAAGACAAGGGTTGTATGATGAAGAGTAAGAGTATGAGTGAAACAAATCCAAATACATTATTTTCCAGAGGGAAAAAATTAGTACAATAACTAGCTGAGGTGTTTTCTGTGAATGGGTACTTGTGAAATCCCAATCTTGATCAATTTCAAAATCACTTAGAAAACACAGTATCCTTCAATGCCACAGAACAAAAACACATTTTGAAGAGGAACTCACAGCACCAGGATTTTCAAACCCAAAATTTAATTTTAGACGAATAAATCCTTATCTATGCTTCTAAATTACAAATGCTTTGTCAGATAAACCAAGCATTCTCAAGACAGCAAGCTTTAAAGAAAACTGATTTTAAAGACTAAGTTCAGTCTAAGATCAAGAGATCCCTCAACTAAGATCAAGAAGATCCCTCAACTCCATTTCACTTGTACATTATGCATCACTATACACAATGTGTGATATTGTTATATGTGAGGGACCAAGAGAGTAGATCACAGATATTGCAAGGTGAAAAAGGAGAACAGTTGCTCTGAATCAAGAAATATGTGAAGTAGAAAAAGTAGTATGATCCCCATAACAACAGAAAATAAATTATGAGTGGCACAAATAGGCTGACCGAGACTTCTTTTCTATTCAAGCAGTAAAAAATCACTTACAAAACCCCAGCTTGCTGTTGTCTGTTCATTCAGCTGCATAAATTACTCAACATCTGGCTTATAAGACTTAAACTGTAAACTTCCACTGAGAAGTAGAGAACTATCCTTCTAGTAACATTCACTCTTCCCCCAAGAACAATGCACATCTCTTGCCTTTGCTGATAACTAAGATGGAAGTGGCCTACCTCAGTGAGCTCCCAGGTGATGCTGATAGTCCAGCAGAGCCCGTAGCTGCGGATCAGCAAAGCCTTCATAGCCCAGCCCCAGAAATGTCCAAAAGCAAATATGTCAAAGTGGCTGAGGATTCTCTCCCAGGTGATAACATGACAGTTCACTGCATACTCCTGTTATGAAAAGAAAAAAACCCAGAACAAAATTACTCCAACAACACACAACTTCAGAAAGAAGAAACATCTTTCCATCCAGTGCATTAAGCCTGGAATTACAAGGTATTAAAATCAGCATTATTTCATTTTCTTATCCTTCTAAACTGTGGCAGAAAACTTCCAGTATTAAGACTCAGTACTGCCATCACAGTACAGCTCTAATTTAAAGGGAAATAGAATGGACCCTGGTGCCTGAAGAAGCACGTGTTTTCTAAGTGACAGAGAAACAACAAAAACAATAAAATCCATAACAATAAAACCAGCAAACAAATACTCCAGAAAATATTTATTTGCCTTTCTTTGGAATCATGATTTGAAATAAGCACCTTTCTCCACATTCATGTTGCCTGGTATTCAGATGTGGCTCATTAGTGGCTAATCCTCCTCAGTTTCTGATGTAATGTTACTCATGTCAACATTTACTTGAGTATCTTTTGTGTCCTGTTTTCCTCATGAAAGCAATTTCCTAGAACCCATTCATATTGAGGACATTCAGCCACAGGCTTGGATTGAAAAAAAATGTATGGGAAGATCAAAGGGAACTTGCAAATGTTTTTTCACAGATGAGCAGCAGATTCCTTAAGAATACCAATTAATATTCTAGTCACCAATGACAAAGGAACCAGGTTCTCAAAACATGTTGTACAGCAAGTGCTAGAAATCACTGCCCAGAAAGAAAAAAATGTATGCCATCAGGAGGCTGCAGTTGTGGGCTTCTGTCTCATCACCAGGCACAAATTGAACTATTCTTATAGGAAACACACATTTTAAAAAATCTCTGCTCTTCAATCCTCCTAAAATACATATTGCCACCTGCAGGTGACAAGGCAGCACTGCTCAGTGCCGTTAAATAAAGAATTCTCTTTCAGGCCAGAACTATTGCTAATCCTGCACAAATGAACACTAATCAAGTTGAAGACGAGATAGCAGAGAAAGATTTAAATCCTGGCCACCACAAAGAGAAGAATGCACAATTTCATAAAAATCTGTCTATCAGCAGGCAGCTAAGTCCCACTGTGGAATGATAGGAGTTGTGTAGTTACTGTGAGTCACCCTTACTGCTGGTGCTTTCTTGCGCTTGCCTGTGCTGCTGGCCAGAGAAAGGTGCACGGCCTGTTCTAAGGATGGTAAACCTGCACCTTTAGTGCACCAAGAGAACTGAAACTGCCTCCTTTGCCAGCATGAGAAGCAAGGAATACACCACAGAAGGTTCAGGCTCCTGAACTACGCCATGATGAGTGCTTGCTCCTTGCTACCTATGATGAGTGCACAATGAGGCTACTTCAAAAATAAAATTTTTACCATGGCTCTTGCTTTTTTCTTTTATTTTTACTGGGGCTTTTTCCTCTCTATCTCATTTTTCCAGCTGCAGTTCTGCCAGTCATACGGTGAAATGTGTTGAACTTTTTTTATACCCAAGCAACTTTGCTAGTCCTGTGCAAATGACCAAGCTGCAGCCTTCATTACAGCTGCATTTTAAAAATTTACTCCAACTTCAAATGACAATATCTGGATTGCAAAGCAGACCAGGGCAAGTTTCCACTGACTGCTACAGTCAGGGAATCTGCTGTACTGTGGTTCTGTGCTAGTAGTAATACTAGTCCTCCCCTAGCTAGAATCTATTTCTAATTTAAATGACAGGAGAGCCAGGTGAATCTGACAAACCAACAGACTCCTTGTCTCAGCACCTTTTTGTTGCTCAGCAACACCAATGACACTGGTGCTGGGGCTCCATTTACCCATGTGCCCTGCCCCTATCCTAAGGGCAGGCTGCCCTCCCCTCTCCAGCAGCACAGGAGGTTCCTTGCAGAACCCAAAGTCACAGCCCAGAGCTGCACAGCACGTTCTGCTGACAGGCTGAGGTGCAGTACCTGAAGCATGCAGTTTTCCAGGCAAGGAGCCTGCATGCAGCCCTCACTATCAATCAGCCAACATGAGCTCACTGCCCTGTAAAGATTTCCATACCCCCATGTGCTACAGAGCACGAGTTTGCAGCCACTGCTGATGAGGTGCTGTGCCTTGGTCTGCATAAGCAGTAAATCGTCACGTGTGAAAGACAGCCATTCAATTTCCCTACTCATGAGCCCTATAGAAGCACCTAGCAGTCAACAGATGACATTGGTGGACAGATGCACAAACACAAGGTCAAGGGAGCATGTTGGTCAGATGGTGAGGAGTAGTTTGATGTGATAGTGAGGAGGGCAAGATCAGTGATTCTTGCCTCCCCACGCAGCCTCCTCTTCTGCTTGGTGCCCAACTGTTCTCACTGTGTTCTGCTTGCCTCCCTGCATAACTCACACCCTTCTCCCAGGCCTCCTTTTAGAAGCTCAGCACCCTGTGTTCATGTCCCCACCTAAAGAGGAATGTTCTCCGTATGGAAAACTCTTTGCAAGATGCTCAGTGAGCAGAAGAACAAGCCTGGCTTTCTATGCCACTGCAGATTATGGTCTATGGAAATAATTTCCCAATGGTACCATCATCAGTGCTCAGTTGCTGACTGACTGGAAGGGAGCAGAGTCCTGCAGTTGCCATACAAACATGTACTCCACAAGCTCCATAGCACAACAGTAATGTATTAAGCTCAGAGCAACAAGATAAGACCAAAGCTCTTTGAGTGCAGCACTGTGGCATCAAAAACCCTGATCTGGAACACATACCATACAGGCTTCATTTAGATACTACCTTGCTAAGTCTATTTTCAGTATCCATCCTCATATCTATTACTGAAAAGCACCCAAAGCTACCCCACTGCAAACATATATCTTATTCCAAATTGCACACTCATCCAAACATCTACATTAGCAAAAAAAAATATACTGAGAAGACTCTTTTTCACATCAGCTGATTTCAATGTAAATAAATTGTTGACACAAAGGACTTGTTGACTCTGTCAAGTATAGGCACAAACTTGCACTGCTCATGGCAACAAATTCAGATTTATCCATTCCCACTCATATAAAACATGCCTAAAGTATGTACAATAAAGTGCCATGGATACATACCATAATATCTGCTTCCCTTGTGGCATATCGAAGATTAGGGTCCAGCCAGTACATCACTGCTTTTACCTGCTCAAAGTTGAGGAAGAGCACGAACACCAGGAACAGAAAATAGAGCACACTGAGACCTGCAAAAAGACTCAGTTTTAAAATCATGCTCACTCACAAAACTGCTTGGAACACAGAGTTCAAAAAGTTGCTTTCAAGCAGTTGTTCTACAAATGAATTTCTGTATGTAGCAGCTACATACAGAAAAGCTGAAGAGACCCCAGTCAGATAGCAATGTCTGAGCACTCAGCCCTTCATACACCATCCTGTGACAAGTGATACAACACATGCTCAACTGCATGAACAAAATCAGTCTAATCAATTTAGACATGTGTAGTACAAGGCTGTGATCAGGAAGCTCCTTAGTAAGAAATACATTAGGATCCAGGATTGCATTAGTTCTGTCCTTTGCTTTAAGTATTCTTGGTCTCACTAATGTAAGTTCCTAAGCCTTCACACAGATTTTAACATAAAGATCAATTTAATAATGCCACTTGGCAATTTTGAGCTGCGCTGCTAATAAAGAGTAATTATAAACTAATGCATGTCTGAGTTACTTTTGTGAGCTGGAAAATTTGCTGCTTGAACCTTTTAAAGATAAATATGATTATTATTTCTTTTCACACCACTATAAATTATGAAACATGATTGCATTTAGGAGTACGATTTCTCTCCTCCAGTCTGAATAAGGACTATTTTAAAAAAAAGAAAAACTTATTAGAAACTGAGTCCTAGATGTAGCTCTAGGGTAGAAGTTTTTGTTAGGACCATATCTTTACATTATTCACAAGCTCCCAGATATCCAAAACCACATTTGGAGGAGGCATACAAACACTTTTTCCAGAGCCTCAAATGTATCGTGCAGCAATGTCATGGAAGGCAGAAAGATTAATGTAAATAAACTTTGGATCTGCCATTCAAAATAAACTCCAGCAATTCTAAAAAGGCCTTTTAAACTATAACCAGGACTCATATGCTGATAGCCCTCAGTGTACACCAGAAAGTAACTTTTGTTCAGAGACACACACATGCACAGGAAGTATCTATATGGTCCTGTGCAGTCCCTCCCAAAAACACAAGGGCAACAGATGTCACCCTGCTAAATGAAGCACAGCCTGCAGGCCAGGGTGCATCTGGAAATGTTGAGGATGCACCAGTCCTGCCCTTCCTCTACTGAAGGGGTCTGAGAACCGAAACACAGCTAAATGAACCACACCAGAAGCAGGAGAATTACACAGGGAAAAATGCTGCTCCTGATTTTGCATGCAGCCTTTTCCCAAAAGTACAGGGGCCAAGCTCTGACAGTACCAACATTGAGAATGACCTTTCACTCTACATGTGGTGAAACTTGAAGTGAGCAGTAGGAGCTAGTGTTTGCAGTAGGAGTAGTGTTTCCCAAACTTTCCAAGAAGCAAGTTTGTTTAATGAGTACTGTCTAATCAGCAGTATCCTCTCAATGTCAACAGATGAGTAATCAGCTACTTTGGGAACCTACTTATTTTTAGATATAAGGTGGCAGGAGAGAGGAACATTCAGTCTGCCTAAAAAATAAGCAAATGTGCAGTCTAGCATATGCTCTGTGAGCCATGAATTATTTGAAAATAAAATTCCTCATGATTTTGCTGTGTAATTCAGATGTTTAAGGAGCAGGATTTCACTTGTGAGTTTTGCAGCTAACAATTATTTTTGGAACTGTAAATGCAACTGATTTTTACAAGTACTTTTAATGAAATAAGTTAAAAATATGAATACACACATGTCAAGAATATTAATAAATGTTAACCTATGCAATGCTACAATTAAGCAAACAAATAAAGTAACAGCATATTTTGCCTATAATGAAAAGAAACCAACTACTCAACTGTGTTTAAAAATCAGACAGTATATGCAGTAGCTGGGGTTGAAAGAGCTGTCAGTAGGAAAGGTGTGGGGGAAGGAGATTGGGAAGCACAAAACAGGATTAAAACTGTATCAGAATGAATGATCCCTTTTTTGTGATTTCATTTACACCATCCCCACACAGAGTAACTACAATGATATTCCCAGACATAACTAAGAATAGATTATAAGCAACTGCTCAGGAGCAGGAGGAAAGTAACATTCACACAAGTTTGGCACAATTATGTTTCGTGACAATTCCATTCATCAGAAAGCTAAAAAGGCAGGTCCTGCAAAATCAATGCAAAAGTTGGAAACACAAACTTACCAAAAACCATCCTCCATAGAGCAGGGTGAGGACGTGTAAAGGGTCCTATAGACAGCAAACAAAAAGCTTATTAGGAGACAGTCAGTAAAAACCACAAAATTTATTTTTGAGTCATTGCATATGACTACTTGGCATGAGCATGGATCAGTTCTTCATCAAACTATGTAATACACCTGAAAGCTGGAGCTCTATGCTGTTAAAAAAAAATTCCAGCAGATTTCCGAGTGGAAAAAGGAGGCTGCCAGTTGGTAACATGAAGACAATTTTTCACTGTTTTTATGGAGTCATGTCCAGAACAGTAGCATGCTGTTTGTCCAGCAGACACCACATCTCAGGTGTCACCTGAGGATGTCCTGACCTGTTTCCAGACTGCAGCTTGCTCCCAGTTAAGATATCCCATACAAATTCGTCTGGTTAACAAAGAAACATGGTGGTTAGCCTTCAGACCAACAAGAAATGTTACCAAACAGGCCTCCTGAAATTTCCAAACTGAGCATCATATATAGCTGATGAGAAGGAAGACACCTATGCTCTTTACTGGTGTCAAATTATTTACTTTAGAGCCAGGGATGAAACTGATTTATTAAACCTCTTGGCTAATGTGAACAGCAGAGAAGGTAAATCAGGTGAAACTGGAAAATGTCTAAAGATGAATCATACATTTAGGTAGCAAGAAGTGGCTCAACAAATATTTTCAGCACAAACTGCAGACCACTCTTTCACCACTGTATGCATCAAGCTCCTTTTTCTCTGGCATTCAGTTTTTTGGGCAGCACTTTGTGAAAAGCATGCATATAGAATTTTTAACATCTGGGGAAAACACATCTCAACTCTGCAGTACAAAGCTGCCCTGCACATGATCACTGTTTTTTCCTGAACATTGCCAACTGTGAGACAGTTTAAGACTTAACCCAACAATCACAATTTTGCTGACAGGAATAAGCAAAAATGAAAAAAACAAAACAGACAAACCAGGTATAAGCATTTCTTCCACAGAATTAACTGACACAGAAACTTTCTTACATTTTTATACTTTCTGCTCCTCACACAACTACCAAAACTCTTGTCCAGCTTTAATATCTACTGAGCAACTGTGGTTTTACATTGTAAATGCAACTTAAATCATTTCTATTACTATCTTCTGGTAAGGTGCTGTGTCTGAAAACTTTTAGAATTACATTTCTGTTGAAACACACTGAGGCAAAGTCCTCCTAAACATTATTTAAGGGTCTGTTAGCATCATTACTTACAATCTGAGCTGCAACTGCACATCTGCAAATAGGACACTGATTTTGAGAACTTGACTTCCTTGTTAAATACAGACTATAAATAACAAGCTATAAATAACACTTATCTCTGCTCAGTATGACTACAACCCATTTTTAGACTGTTTCTTAACATAAAAGAATTCAAATGACTAAAGAAAAATACACTGAAAATTGGTATTTAAATAAAAGTCGAAGTAAATATAGTGGCAATAAAGAGAAACCCACATTTAAAAATCATGAAGTACAAGCTGTATAAACCTTACTCACCATTAGGAAAAGCTAGAACACTGATGATTAGAAAGAAGAAAATCACAGAGAGGATACCCCTCCAAATATTATCCTCTGGTACAGAATCATCCCTAAAGAGACAGACAACACAGTATTAAAGTACATTATAAGGATGAAGTCAAAAGGCTCTCAAGATATATTATTCAAATAAAGAATACATGGAAATTAAATATAAGAAATATGCATGCCCATTATGTAACAAGTTAAAACAGTAATTGCACTGGACGATTTTCACACTACACTTCTGGGTGTCTCTTTCTTACAAGAGGGTTAATTATTTAGTAAACACATGCAAGCCATTAGCATTGTTAGGAGTGAGTGTAGAAGTGTAGAAGCAATGACCAAGTTTAACATAAGGTGAAAAAAATCTTCCTGCTTTAATACTTACAGAAAGATCATTCAATTACTTTTACACAGCAATTTTTACTTTTACACATAAACTAAAACCTCTGGAAGGCTGGATGCAATTCCTAGCTTTCCTTCTGCTGTTTTGGTGCTACTTGCAATACCCTTCACTTCCCTTTGCCTATCCTCAACATCAAATGCCTGAGATGAGGGCAGAAATAATGATTACAATCAATCTTTAGAAATAATGAATGTACAGCTTAGACTCTGTAACAGAGACACAGCACAACTTAAAGGATCCAAGGAAAAATATCAATTTGCTTTAAGATCTATTAAGCCAAAGCTCTGAATATAGCATCATGCATTAGTTGTGCTACTGTTACATTATAGCCAGAAGACAGACCTAAGAATTCAGTTTGGAATGCTGAGGCAAACTTGAGGGACTCTTTCTTTTTGGGCAGGTAGAAGATTAAAAAAATAACCCTCACCTAACTTTTCTAACCAGCAGACAGCTTCTGGGATACTTCAGTAATACAAAACAACAAACTTCAGTCTATCATAGTATAAACAGTGAATATTTCATAATACCCACTGCAACTAAAGTCAAAGTTTTACTATCTGGGTAGTTAGCATTAGGATCAGTTTATTCATTTCAGTATATTTGTTTATTTATTCACAACACAATAACAAAATAATTCCTAGCAAACTTTGGAGGTAATAAAGCTCTTCCTGGAAGAGCATCTGTCACATTTCTGGATGGTTCAGTAAAGAATCCATGACAGCATAAATGCTCTCCACATTAGATACTTGCTGCAGTTAGAAAATCTTTCTCACTTAGCCAAATTATTTTTCTTTTCCTCAAAACTGAACTTTAACAGCTTCACAGCAGGCTTTCATCACTGCGAGGCATTTAAGCACTGTGTTAGTTTAAATGTATGGAAGGAAAAAGTGCATGAAACACAAATGGTTTCTCTGCAGGCCTTAGGGACTCCCCACAGCATTTTTTTAAACCAGCTGAGTTCAGCTTTACCAGTCATTTTCCATCAGCCATGCTGCACAGGCTGACACTTTATACCAGCTATAAACTCCAGGTTCCAGAGCTTAAATCAGGCTCCCTTGGCAATCCCAAGACCTTATGCCATCCAGTGCACTTGCTAGCCAGAGCTTCCAGTTCTATGCCTCAGACAGCTAAACCATATCACTCTTTTAGCACATGTAAATAACACACTGGAACATTCTGTCATGGCTGCCACCGAGAGGATGAACTGGTGTTTTTTTTAGATAGAACAAATAACTACAGTTGCATCACATCAATTCATCACAGCCAACAAAGAAGTGAAAAACATTGTGATCACATCACTTAACTGCTGCACCAGGTGAGACTAAAGGTCCTTACTTTGCATATCAGGATTCTGAGTACTACTCAGCTTCAGAAAAGCTCTCCTAGTCATGTTGGCACCACTTCCCCCCAAAATCAACCAAGATGTATGCAGTGATAAACTGCAACTCATTCCAAGTGAGTGGCAAGGCATTTTACTTTGGCTTACAGATACATTTCACAAGGGATAGACACCCAACCTTCTTGCCAGAAGCAGGTAAGAACTGGTGTGAGCAAGAAACTTGCTGCTGTACACTAGCTGGTATAAGAATTATAGTGTTTACCTGGAAGAACCATTCTGGGGAATGCCAAAGGGAAAGATGCAATCATAACAAGCTGCAATTGGGAAAATGTGCTAAATCATCTCCTTACATAGCCCAAGAATTGTTGACTCTGATTTTGAAACACAAGGATTCATGCAGCAGAAGCAAGGTTTCTAATGCTTACATGGGAGGACAGATGAAAAGTCTCTCAATTTTAACCCACTTTACAAGGGCATTTATTGTGGCTTTTTAGAGAAGAAATTAAAAAAAACAAAGTGCATAAAAACTGCATAATCTTTATCCCTCTTCTGTTCTTCTCCAGAGCAGTAGATTACAAAAATGTCAACGAGTGAGTTATTATATCACAAAAAAAAAGCTGGAGGGGGGAACTCAATTGAGGAAAAAATAGCTAGGACACTAAATTTGGAATGTGGAAGAAGGAGGAAAAACATCTTCCATAAACTCAGCCAAACCTAAATACAGCTAAATAATCCAGTTTAATCAAGCCCATTAATCAAGGGACATGGAAGACAAAAGCCCTACATCCTACAGGTCCTACTCCTGCTTCCACAAACCCAGGCAGCTTCATCCCAGAAGCCACTAGTCTGTCACCCTCCTCAGTCCTGTTGTTGGGTCCCACAAAATATCCCCCCCAGGACTCACTCCTGCAGGCTGCCTCTGGGCTCAGAGAGGGCCACACACCTCTATCTAGGGTGGAAGAGGACAGCAAAAGCTAGAGCCACTCCCCACCTCTGCCCCAAGGCACAGGATGGAAGCAGTGGAGCCTCTGTCTGGCTCATTCAGCAGGAAACAACCAAGGAAGCTGCAGCCATTGTCAGAAGCACTAGAAGGATGTGCTTTAAAAGAACAGAATACCCTCTATTCCCCACTTTAACATAGAAAAATAAAAAAACACATTTCTTTTGGATTATTATCATCATCATACCTGAAGATTCCTGCTATCTGAAGTTCCATTTCACCCTTATCTGTCAGCTCAAAGACAGTAGCAACCACTCTCAGTGATCCTAAGGAGGACTTCATGTTATGTATGGCTTGCTACACACAAGGGAAAAGCATTTTCTAAGCTCCTCAGAACTCTCCACATAGTTCTAACACAAAGCAATTAGAGAAGAGACAAGAATTTAAGGAACACAGATTTTCCTCTGTCTATGGTGAAGTTCCTGAAAAAATAAATGTTACTTCACAACATCAGCATGAATCTATCATAGAAAATCCCCCACTCAACAAAGTGCCCAGGAGAGCTACAGAACAACTGACAGCACAGGGGAAGCAAAGAATCACTTGTGACACTTTACAGGGAAGTCTACAGGGCCTTGTGCCCAGCAAGTGGGAAAATGAACTTAAACATCACCTCAATTGCATGAGTCAGTGTAGACTCAATGCAATAAGCTGATGGAAAGGAGCACAGACTGTAAAAGCATGTGGGAAAGTATCTCCTCTTCCCCAGTCTCTCAAAGAGTGTATATGGTTTGGATAGTGTCCCAAATGAGGCCCAGAGGCAGCACTCTGGTATCACTCATGAGATCTATGAAACTCCTACAACAGTTGAAAATAGCAGAAGGAAGAGAGGGGAAAAAGAAAAATCAGAGTACCTTCTACAACTTGAGAAGAGGAGAAACAGAGAAGAGTTAAAGAGAAGTCAACTGGTATTTAAACACAGGAAGTGAGGCAGACAGAGGGAAGAAAATGAAACTGAAGAAGTCAGTTAGAAAGAGAGCAAAACAAATGGAAAGACACACCAGCAATCCTCTTGGAAAAATGCAAACAAACATCCCAGAAGTGAAGCAATTTTATTTGGGCCTAGAAGACTCCAAAGTGCTGAAATTGCTTCTTAGCTCACCCTCTGCTTGAAAGAATTATGGCAAAATTCCTTCCCCAAAGGTGAGCAATCCATTAATCCATTAATCCTCCAGAATGACACTGTGATGAAAATTTCCTAGTGAGTCAGAACTTTGATCTAAATTAGCCCTTCAGGGGAAAAGTGATCAGGCAAGGGGACGAGGAGCACTTGTACCAAAGGTCTGTAATTAAACATTGTAACAGAGCACAGAAATATGTCTCTGATTTTGGAGTTAAGAAGGGATCCAAGTAGAACAAGGGATGTGATCACCAAAAGTATCTCCCTTGGGGCCATACACATGTTGAAACAAGAAAAGGCACACCTCAGACCATCTGCAGTTACACTATTTTACTTTTCCTTATGCCCCTGTTTCAACTCAAGCCAGGCTTGGCCATTATTTCACAGCTGATAAAAACTAAACATTTGGATTCTTAGAATAAAATTACACATTGAACTGTGTATCAGGCTTAGTGACAAATGGAGAGTTGTCATAAATTAATGTTTTAAGGTCACTTTCAAGGGGGGAGTTCACCACAATCAGAGTTTAAGCCACAAGACCACTGAAATCCATGACTGTCTACACACAGTGCCACAAAAGTTTAAATGAGTCTAAACCACACTGCACTACCTAGCCAAAACCTCGCAGGAATCACTGCCTACATACTACACAACTTAGTCTACAGGAAGATTATACAATCATCTTCACATCCAGTGGGAGGCCATAAAAAGTATACACAACTTCAAAAAACATGCAGGATACCCCTCAGACTGCACTGCTATACCCCTTGTTTTCAAGCAAGGTTCCCGAAAAACCTGTCTGTTCCTGGCAGTATGGCCATGGATGACCGCAGGGGTGATGCCCACAGAGCCTTCCCTCCCTGTGGTGCGCCAAGGATGCGGCTAAGCCCACCCGTGCCAGGGCCTGAGCCCCGCTAAGCCCACCCGTGCCAGGGCCTGAGCCAAGCCGAGACTGGCCACAGACAGCGTGGGGTACAGAAGCGGTGCCACAGAACAGCCACTGCCGCGCACCGCACGCTTGGGAAACCATCCACAGGAGTGATGTCACCGCGGGGCTGCTCGATAGCCTAATAAAGCCCATTTCTGGCAACTCCCTGAAACACAATTTTAGTAGAGACTTTAGCAGAGATCCGCAGAACGATTACCAAGTTCCCAGGAAACGCAGTGGGGATGATACCCGCTCTGGAAAGGAGGGCAGGATGCCCGCTCTCCAGCACGGGCCTGCCGAGCGGGGGGCGCGGGGCGCTGCAGCAGCCGCCCGGGGAGCGCACCGCAGGCACGGCCCGGCCGGAGCCGCGCTGCCCCTGCTCGCCCCGGGCCGGGCACCGACCCTCCCCATTCCCTGCCCGGGAACCCCGGGGCTGCCGGCACCCAGGGGCGGGGCTACGGCTCCCCGCGGCGGCCGCGCACCTGGTGAAGGCGAAGGCCATGAGGCTGAGGATGGTGAAGCTGAGGAGGGTGATGGTGTGCGGGCGGTAGAAGAACTCCAGCGTGATGTCCTCCACCTGCTGCTCGTTGATCATGCGGAAGTGCAGGCGGTAGTTTACGTCGTCCTTGCTCAGGGTCCGGCTCCCCACGCACGACGCCATCTCGCCCCCTCTCTCCCCTCGTCTCAGCGCGGCTGTGGATGCGCGGGGCGGCGCGGCCCGAACCAGCCCGGCCGCCCGCCCGCCCGTGCCGCGTCCCGCCGAGCGCAGCCGAGCGGGCCGAGCGGGGCAGCGCCGCGCCCGCCGCGCCGAGGGGCGGAGCTCGCCCGGCCGCGCCCACGAGGCGAGGGAGGGACAGAGCAACGGAGCGCGGGAGGAGGGGACGGCGGGGCCACTCCGTCCTTTTACAACACGCGGAGGAAAGGACGCTGCTGCCTACTCCCCCCCGTTTCCTTCCGAGTGGTCTCGCCCGGGCCGGGCCGGGGAGCGGGGCGCACACGTGGGCCGTGCCGCGCCGGTGAGGCCCCGGTAGGTCCCGCTGTTCCCGGGCCGGGCGGCACTGCCCCTTCTCCTGCAGGTTACACGCAGCGGCCGCCGGCGTGGGGAGCCCTGCGAGGGGAGGACGGTGGGCGCGGCCCGACTCGGCCTCCCCGCCCTGTGCGGTTTTACGCGGAGGGCCCCGTGCCCCCGGGAGGGGTTAGGTCCTGGCTGGGCTTCCCCGTGCTCCCGAGGGAACGGCTGTCCTAGAGGGCGGCGGCCTCAGACCCGGCTCTTCCGTTTGTGGCGCGTTTAAAGCCTGAAGGCCGTAGGTGGTGCTTTGTAGCGAGGGATTGCTGTAACGCTGGGGGATTGATGCTCCCGGCTGTACGGCGAGGCGGGCAGCGCCCGTGTCACTCTCCGGCCTTTTCCTGCCTGTAGGATGCCGTGCTGCGGTGGGTGATGGCCGTGTGGGCTCGGCACGCCTCCCGCTGGGGCTGCCTGCTGAGCACGGCCCGTGCTGCTGCTGAGCTTCCCCGGAGGCTCGGGGGTGGCGGCTGCCCCGCACGGGCCTGCCCTGCGCTGGCCCCTCGGGCTGTGCTGCCCGCTGGAGAGGAGGCGGCTCTGTGCAGACTGCAGGGGTACAGGCAGCTGTCCACAGGGAGCTGTTCCCCGCCCCACAGCGCCAAGGATGGAGCTTTCTCTTCTCCCGAAAGTAACCTGCCTTCAGTGCAACAGGGGCAAGCAAAACCAGAAATATTGCCTGATTTGAATGCCAAAATACTGGACGAAGGTAAGAGGCTTTAAGGAATACAATTTCTCCCGAATCCTCAAATTATGTTTTCAGAATGCTGTGGTTCAACCCCAACTGGGTTCTCCTTTTTTGCCCTGTTTGCCTAAAATATGTATCTGGAGTTCCTGACTTTCACTTCTGATTAGCTCTGTAGTTAATTCAGGTAGTTATGGTCGATGTGGCATGCAAAGAATACCTTTAAAGTGAGATAAAGGTATAATGTTTTGGGTAGAAATGTAAGTCTGGAGCTGCTTTTTGAAGGAGTTTTCATAACCCTACCTGCATCTGTTTGCCTTTCCCTCACAGATGTGGTGGTACAAACTAAAGGGTTTTGGTTTGGGGTTTTTTGGGCGTTTGGTTTTTTTTTTAATTTTTGTTGTTTTCTTTGTTTTGTTTTGGATTTTTTTTGTTTGGGTTTTTTTTTTTTTTTTTTTTTGCTTTTTTGTTTGGTTTAGGTTCTTTTGTTTGGTTTGGTTTTTTTTGTTGTTTTGGTGGGTTTTTTGTTTGGTTGGTTGTTTTGTTTTTGTGTGGGGTTTTTGTTTTGATTTGTTGGGTTGGTTTTTTTTTATTTTGAGTGAGGCTGGGAGATAGCACGCCTGAAGCAGCTCACACTCCACGGTTTGAGGGATCAGGAAGGACCAACAGGAGGCAGTGGTGTGAAGCCTCTTTAAGCGCTGCTCTGATGAGAAATGCTCACCCAACTGTCTTCTGAGGAAAGGAGATAAATGCAGCGGCGCCTTGGTGTTGTTGCCCTGAGGAAATTTACTTACTTTTTATCCCTACTTTTACATCTAAACAAAAATTATAATATTTCCATCCTTTCGAATTACTTTGGGTATGCTGAGGAAATTTGCTCTGAATTATTGAGCAGCTTTGTATGTTCAGATTGTGCTTTGAGCCCAAGCCAGCCTGGATTATATAGAGCTTATTATTTGGGGTGGCTCAGACCTGCATCAGAGATCTGTGTGTGTAGCTGGTTCTGAAACAGTGCTGCACCAAAGTGATGGGTCAGCCAGCTGCACCTGTGATGCAGTTTATCCACTTGCTAGATTTTTATCTGCCAGCAGACTGACTGGAGAATGTGTGTGTGTAGCATTTTGCCCAGTTGTCAGTCTGTATAATGGAATAAACATAATTGATAATTTTGGGGGGTTTTGGTAGCTTGAAGTATGATTCCCAATAGGAAGTGTAAGGTCTTTAAAGTGGCAATAAAAGACATGCATGTATCTGGAATGGACGTTATTGTATATTTGTTTGGTCCTCAGCAAGTTGAAAAAAACCACTTGATATTCCTATAGATTCCTAGAGAGTTCCTGTTCAATGTGTAAATGTTGCTGAAAGCATTTTACTGTGCTTTTGTTTCTGAGGCTATCAGAAAAAGACAAGACCTTCAACAGCTATCAAGCTAGTCTGTGCAACTCTTCCTGGAGCACTAGGCACATCCTAATTACTTTGGAATTACTTGTAGTAGAGTTCTGGTGTGCCTTTGTTTCTTGACTTGGAAGAGTGTTACCCTCGTCTCTCAGAATCCATTATACGAAGGCATAGAGCACTAAAAATCCCCTTCCCAAAGAGTTTTTAATCAGGGCATCTGATCAGTAATCAAGCTGATAATTGATGTGGATGCTAGCAGCTAGCTTGCAAACAGCAATCTTAATCTTGCTGCTTTGAGCTCCTATCAATGAAAAAAATAAATCTATTTAGAGAATTTGTTTTTTAAAGACAGTGAGTTCTGTGATTTGGAACACTTAAGGGAAAACAAGCATAATGATGTTCCCTTTGAAACCTTAGTGAGTAGGAAGTTATTCTTTTTGCTGTTAGAGATAGTGGCAGTCAGCTGCCTTTCTGTAATGGATAAGACATAATAGATTGGCTGGAGTTGGCTGTGAAATACATTGAAAGTTAAAACAGCTGCATTTCAGGCTGCATATTCAGGAGAGCCACAAAGTAGTGGGCTGGTTAGGTTATGAAGAATAATCTTGGCAGTAGCCTTCTATCTGGCTGTGATCAGGCAAGAATGCATTTGTGAAAACATGAAAGGCGATCCTTTTCCAGAGGGTGATTTGATCTCTTGTCTGCAGTGTCTAGGCAGCAGACTGAAGGCAGGCTGGGTACTACTCTCAGACTTGGCCATATGAGTAAAAGTTAATGGGCAGTGACCAGGAGATGGAACAGAGGCAAAAACTGGGAGCAGAGTCTATGTTTTTATGTTTTCAAATAATAGGCTGGCTGTTTATCACATGGCACAGTGTTCCTGCATTTTGGAAAAGATTTTAAGAGATCTGTATAGCATTTGGTGAGAGCAGCTTTGTCTTTCACAACATGCATTTGGGTTTTCTATATTTGTTTCTCAGACTGGGATGACATCCCACCTTCATCTGCTTTGGAAGTGATTTCTGAGGAAGAAGCTGTACAGATCATTGCAGAACCACTTCTCCCCATTCAGTCTTCCACGCTCCGAGATTATGTTGATCACTCAGAAACCCTTGCAAAACTTGTCCACCTAGGTATGTGTGATTTTGTGTGCTCTGCCTATGGCAGGAGCTTTGCAGATCCTATCATTTGTGCTTTGCTCTTACTGGTTACCTTGTAAACTTGAAAATGGGAGCAGTGACCAATGGTAAAAAGCTGCAGAATGTTATCCAGGGTAAATTGACAAAAAGAGGGGACTGTGTCACTAGCAATGCCATACTACTGGGAAACAGAGCTGGCTGATATTAGTCCCTTAGTGCTATGGGTGTTAGAAGGAGGCATCTCCCACAGCTTCAGGGGGTGGGGATCACTGTGTAATTGACTTGGTCTTTCTTCTTTTGGGCTGGTTAAAGATGCTTTAATTTGCTGCAAAACAAGCTGCAGCTCTTCATGCTTGGAAGGAAGGAAAGAGAATGGTTGCTATGCATAACATTAGGAGTGAGGCACAGCACACTGGAGAAGCAAGAGGCAAGGGCTTGACAAGAATCTTCCTTCTCGTCAAAAAACACTTGGACTACAGAGATGCCCAAGTTCAAGCTTTCTCACCACCTTGTTGCCCAAACGTGCAAAGAAGACTAGAAGGAGGTTGGAAAAATTAATATTTGAGAGAGGGAATCTGTCCCCATGTAGTAAGAAATTGTCATGTGTGAGTCAGTATACAAAGTCACTTCACTGCAAAATTGTCATCTTCCCTTTTATAGCAGATTTGGAAATTTCATGCACACATACTTCTGTGCAACAAGAGCAGGTCCCTAATGTGGCACATGCAGGTTTCACTGCAAAGGTCTTTCTTCAAAAAATAAACTCAGCAAAAGCTTCTAAAATGACTGCTTATTTTATCTGGAGTCTTTCCACAATATACAAGGTGGTGTAGCCTTGCTGTGTTGAGTAATTAAAGTATGCAAAATCAGTGCAAAAAATTGAGTAGTCCTATACATTCCAGCATGCCTTTGGGAAGCACTTACAGAAAGCAGGGTCTGTGTTTAATTAAAACAACTTCTAATTTTGTTTGTTGTAGGAGTTGACTTATCCCAAGTGGAGAAACGTCAAAAGGCAGGTCAGCTCTTACTGACTTTGGACTTTGAAAAAGATGTAAAAAAAATACTTCTGTTTCTTAAGGATGTGGGTGTAGAAGACAATCAACTGGGACCATTCCTGACCAAAAATCCATATATCCTTGGTGAAGATCTGGAAGCTTTAGAAACCAGGTAAGCTTTTCAAGAAGTAGTAGGGTGTTAAGCCCCTTGCCTTGAAGATCTGGTTTCCCAGTTGGTTTACTTTGTCTGAAGGAACCTGTGCTGCCTGCTGCCTCCTTTCTTACTCTTACTCCTTTCTTACCCTGGCTGCATATTCTTGTGCCTCCCCATCTGTTGGCACTAATGTGTGATGTTATACAATTCTTGTATAACACAGACCTAACTTCTTTCTCCTCTGTTCTTCCAATCTTGTGTTCAATAAGTGGCCTTTCAGAAACAATATCCAAAAAAATACCCTATGTCATTTTTCCAGAAGCAGTTTTGAGTTTAGGTATCAGACCAGACTGCTCTTCTGAATGCTTTTCTGAAGAGAGGTTTGGGGGTTTTTTTGTGATAAATATCCTAACTCTTCCATTAAGTCAGACTTTATTTTCAGTGGCACTCCTGTGGCACTGGCTGATTGGTAAAGAAGGGGCTAAACAGAGCAATCCAATTTCTTCTTAATTTTCTGCAGTATGATTCTTCTGTAAGTTTGACACTGGTGAATGATTTCCTGCAAGCTTTAAAGTAAGTGTGCTGTAAAGGCTGTGAAGTGAGTGTGTCTCAAATAGCTGTCTTTTGAAAGCTGAGTATCACCTTTGCATAAACAGTTCGGTGCAGATGGATGTGGTATTGGTTACATCACTCTGGAATGTTTTATTGCTATGGATCCCATGTTGCCAGGAAACAAAACAAAATTTCAATAGGTTTGGCATTTGACTTCAGATAAACACTGTAAAAGTCAAAACATTCCATAATTCCTAACAATTTTGACAGTTGCAAATCAGTGTCTGTACTGCAGCTGCACCAGATGCTTTGTTTTATGCTGGTGTTAATGATGACTTAAAACTGTTAACATGCTACATAGAACTGCTGAGCCCTGTAGTGGAACGAGGGCTGACCTTGGTGCCAGCACTCACAGATGTATCTCAAGCTTTGGCCAGGTTGGATAGCTGTGTTCCTTTAATATTCCAGTTTCTACAGTCAGGTTACTACAATCTTGCCATCTCTCTTTTAAGTTTCTTGCCATTCCAGGAAGAAACGCTTTAAGTGTGAATCTTAATGACTTGTTAACAGAAAAGAAGTGGAGTCAGGACAGCCAAAAGAATTGATTTTTAATCTGCTCGTTTAGCTGTTTCTGGGATGCTTGGAAGCTGTGCCAGTTCCATTATCATTGCCTGGAGCCTAGGGTCCTACTTTCTGTGTTGGGGTGCTTGCTCAGTTAGAAATTGGTCCTCTAGATCTTGCTTTTATATCTTCCATCTGGGAGTTTTTGGCTTGTGAAAATTTCTGAGGATTTGTGGAAAGGGGGAAGTTGAGTGACTGGAAGGTAATTTTATTTTTTTTTCTTTCCACAAGACATGGTTTAACAGAAAGCCCATTTTTTGCTGAATATCTGCTTCTGCAGAATATTCTGCAACCCATTTATTATCCTAATTACTACCAAATAAGGCAATTCTTGTTGTATGCTCTAAGTTGATCTGACTGCAAATACTTCTCATATTGCAACTACTCTCATCTATAACCAGAGGAAGCCTCTCCAAATTGTAGTGTAGTTGTTTAGTACATGGTAGTATGTGGATTAATTGTGTCTCTTTACTTGGTGTGCTGTATTTCTCCTCTTCAAGCATTTTTTTCTGGGAGCTGTGGTAATCATCTACTGCAAGTGGGACTTGAAATAGGATTTCACTTTCACTGAAATCAAAGTTTGGAAAAAGTTTTGACTTGGAAAGAAGGAAGGAAAACAAGCTCTGTTAAATATCAAAACTTTAGTCAACTCCTCTTGCTTTCTGACAGCCAGATGTTTGTTACTCACTTGTTAGACCAGTGACTGAAAATAGGGCAAACACAACTTCAGCTGATGTAGAAATGTCTTTTTCAACAATATCTGTACACACAGCACCCTTGTATGATATTTCTACTCCAATGCTATTGGCAAAACAGGAGTGTATGAGGTATAGGACTCCATTCTTTCAGCAGTAGAAATGGAATTCATTAAAATAGCAAAAGGCTGTATATATCTTCTTGTCCATACCCTATTAATGTGTTTGCAATCTAGGAGACAGACTGGTAGTTAACTGTAGGTTAACATTGTTATCTGCTTAAGTACAGCTGGAAGGAATTAAAATCTATCTTCAGTATTGACATTCTGCTCTGAGGTTTATTTTACTTCTAATTAATTGGAAGGGAGGGTATTTTGCTTTTACAATAACTGCAGATTTCACCTTAATTATTTTTGGCAGGGTTGCATGTTAATGCTAGAACATCTGTCCATTTATAAGATATCACTGAGGAATTTAAGTGATCATTGAATAAATGGAGGCAATATAATTTTCATCACTGGATTTTATTTTGTTTTTGTTCTCTTTCTAGAGTGGCTTACCTAAAATCAAAAAAATTTGGTAAGTCAGAAATTGCTCAGATGGTCTCAAGAGCTCCATATTTGCTGTTGTTTTCAGTGGAAAGATTGGATAACAGACTGGGTTTCTTCAAAAATGAACTTGGTCTCAGTGTAAAAAAGGTAAAGACTGAAGTGTTCACATATTTTATTAGTGACAGTTGTAAGGTCTTGCGATATGAATACTCCAAGGTGTTTGGAGATTATCAGCAAACATTGTGTTAACATCAGTAATGTCACTAGAGGGTTATAGGAGGGTAACATGGTTTTAACTGTCTATAGAAGTGATATGGACACCTGACATTCAGAGGACCTGAAGTACAGTTACTGAAGATGACTTGTTACAGTTTATTATCAAATAAGCATGTGTATGTCCAGTTCTGTTATTTGAGGTGGGTCAGAGGACTGAATTAATTACTGAAACAGCAGCAGCTCTTTTAACTTCTGGAAAATTATTTGGTGCTCTTCATCTCTTCAAGATACTTCAACATACTTAAAGAATTTAAAAAATAGTCTAATTTGTGAGTATCTTATCAAGATAAATGCCAAATCATATGCTCAGCTCACCAAGAGTGACCTCTGTGTTTGCTCATTGGTGCACACCACATTATGCACTTAGCAAGTATTCAGCACCTTGCTTTGAATCTTAAGGGCAGGTAGTAGCTGGACTTGCCTGGAGTAACTGGGCAGTTTTAGTTGTCCTGAAGTAGGTGGGGATTGCAATGAATACCAAATTCCAAGTGGAATCTTGGGTTCTTCTGTTAGTTGAACAGTCATAGCTGCTACAGTGCCCTGTTGCTGGCCTTTCCATATTTGAGGTGAGACATCTCCTCGGAAAAAGGTTTAGCCATCACCTTGTACTCAGGGTGGACTACAGGTAATCAAACACTTCAGGGAATGTGGAGTATTTCTTGTAGTGCTGTTACATGTGGTCTAACCAGATTCAGAAGTTAGCTCCACTGCCACTAAAAACCCTTTTATAACTTCCATTGGGTAGTGCGTTGTTTTACTTTTTTTAAAAAAGATGGGAAGAAACAACATGAGGGCTGAGAGAAATTGGGCACTTGAGCATACTTTCCCCTTTTGATGCATGCTTTTACTCCTTCCTACCAGCTTTACATTTGTATTATTTTTTGTTTTCTAAAAGAACATATTTGAGTAATGTTTTGTGTCTTAACATACTGCTGTTTCATGCAAATTCATCTTTGGTGTAGAGATAAAATGAAATACAAAATGAAATGAAAAAAAAAAGTTTATATAGGATCTTTCTTTCAAAGCCTTCCATAAAACTCATTAATTTATGTGTTTTTCTGATTGTAGACAAAGGATTTGGTAATTCGTCTTCCAAGACTACTGACTGGCAAAATAGAGCCTGTAAAAGAAAATCTTCAGGTGAGCTTATGAATAGATATTAAACGTGTATTGTATATAGTTGAAGAGTTGTCAGGAGATAAAATTCTTGTAGGGAATTGTGTACAGAAAGAATTTAATTAAATTATTTTGGTGGTGATATAAAGTAACTGTTAAACCATGAATTTTCCTCTATAGCATGCATACTTACTCAATGCATGGAGCATTACCTTATTCTCTCTTCTACTCTGATGTATTGCCTTCCTGCCAAAAGTTGCTATATGATGACATAAATGGTTACCCATTTTTTAATGAGTAGAAAAATACTCAGTCTTTTTTCCCTCCCCTTAATTAGTACGTTTTTTTGCTAACTTGGATTGTCCGTGAGTATTTAGGAGCAAGACATGTGCAGTTGATTATTTTTCTCCTGGCAGGTAACTAGCCTGCCAAAATGTGCATTTGAGACCTATTGTCTGATAGCAGATGGTCGTTAATTGTTGGGTAAATAACTTCCAACCCCTGGGGATTCCTTTCCCTTTTGAAAATGTAAGTGTATTGCTTTAATTACTGTGCTGTAAAGCCATCGAGGCCAAACAGCATGATGTAGTGTAACAATTTGTGAAATTCCATTATTCTATAACAAATAACTATAAATCAAAATGTATAATTTTCAGACAGACTCACTGTTCTGAAACTATTAAACACTAGAAGTCTTGCAATCTGAAATGTGTGTGTGGTAAGGGAGGAGACTGGAAAGTAGCAGACTGTTCTAATTAATAGTGCTTTCTTTTAAACACACATTGTTTCCACAGGCTAGGGAGCCATTATTATAATGAATGTGTTTTTGAGGTCTTTAGTTCTATGTGACTATCTTGTTTATCCACCAAGAAATACAGCATAGCACCTCTATTTTTAAAATGTGTGAGAAAGGGAAAGAAAGGAAGGATTTTTAGGTCCCCACTGTTGGAATCTACTAAAGCTGAAGCTTTTCAGGAGGTTGGATTCAGAATCTCTGTTCAGACCTGTATGTCCTAAACTGCTGGTGGGAGGACAGTACTTGGAAAGTGATATCACATACCAACAGTTCAGAAGTGATCAGGCTGTATCCCTCATTCTGAATGGACTGTTATTTAGAAACAAGTACAGTAGCTGATCTTGGTTGTTGTAAGATACCAGTCATGGACTAAATGTGCTGAAGGATTGCTTAGTCCATCCTCTGAGGGTTTAATCAAGCACAATTAGAGATTCATTGACAGGGTAAAACCTGTCAAAGCTTTCATTACCTCTGCCTATTGTGGGAATAATACATACTTTGTTGACTATTGCTGAGGCTTATGCAATAAGGATATTAGCATGTGTGGCCTAGAGAGTTATTGAATATTAAACATGTTTGCTGTCAGACTGAGTGCAGCTTACACGTAGGCTCACTGATCATGTCGAGGGAGCTGTTCCATGTCACAGAGCAGAAGATAAAAGCTCAAGATTCTTGCCACAATTACCTCTATAGTGGGGCCCAGCTTTATCTCTGCAGTAATTTAACACGGGGTCTTAACTCCAGTTGTGTATCTTGATGCAGGAAGTTACCCCTGCCAGCTCAGGTCTACGGAAGATACTACTCATGTGCAAACACCTATTTCCGTACTTGAATGCTGTCTTAGTTAATTGGTATTTTGTATGGTGCACAAATATTTAGAAAGCAGAAAAGCTAAAATGGGGAGTTGAAAGACCTGACTATAGTTGCCTCTAGAAACAGTTCCCTGCAAGGATTTGGAAGTCCTAAGGTAAATTCAAAACCCAGATTCTAAGCCCTTCCCTTCATATTTGACAAGCAGTTCTGGAAAAAAGCCGCAGTCTTGGCACATCAAATTGGGTGAACAAAAACACCACCTTCTTGCCAACTGAAGTACCTTAGTTTGATATGAAAGTCTGGTTATGTTAGCTGGCAAGCACACCCACTTCATGACTGAAAACAAGCTGCTTGTAAGTGTCACTGGAGGATAGAAGAAATTACTGAGTTAACAGACACTCTTGTATGCTGAATTCTTTCTCAACAGCTCAATGACTTGCTTGCCATTCTGCACTTTGGGAGGAGTGCTCATGATTTTATTGAAAAAATGTGTTTTGTTTTCCTTTTGGGAAATCATAATTGAAGTCAAGTCAGTCTCTGAAAAAGACATCTTACTTTAGACTTTATTGAACTGTAGAATAAATCGAATACACTATGTATTCTACATATCTCTTTTAGGTTCAGCAGTCTTAAATTGAAAACTATAGAAATTATACTCCTTATTTAAAAAAAAAATGTACCTTGGATACATTAGCAAAAGAAGTAACACATTAGCAAAAGTAGGCACTAGCTATTTGGTTGCTGTGTTTTACAGAGCTCAACAGCTCCACAGGAAGAAAGTCTCTTGACAGCTTGGTATTGAAAATGATGAAGGACTCTTAGGGGAAAATCTTTATGCTTTTAACTGCCATACATATGGAGACATGGCTTTTTTGTTCATATCTCAGACAAACTGAAAAATACATAACATTCGGAGAAGTTATCTTTATTTTGGGGATATTTTATAAACAAATTACACTTTAATCTAGAACAATAAATAATTTGCATTGTCTGACTTGAGAAGAACTGAAGTGGCAGATATTTTTGTGGTTTGCATTCTTGTTGCTGTGTAAAAAAGAATAGAAGAATTTTGCATTAGTTTAAGTGGCACATTAAAATAAGCTGAGTTTGCTGTAGCTGACTTGCAAAGATAAAATTGTGCTCTTTTTCAGGTTTGTCAAATTGAACTTGGTTTTCAACGTAATGAAATTCAACAGATAGTGTGCAAAACTCCCAAGATTTTAACTGCAAGTAAAAAGAGACTCAAACAGACATTTAACTACTTACACAACATAATGGGCATTCCCCACCACATGCTTACTCGCTTTCCTCAGGTGAGCTGTTGATCTGAGAATAAATTGTAGGTGCTTTTGTCACAGCCACTTCACTAACCTGCTGAAGGTGGAGCCTTGCTCTGTGCAAAACATAAGTGAATTCTCCAGCTAGCCTGTGGCTTTTACTCTAATTTGGATAACTTTAATTAGCAATCCAGAAACTATTGAAGATTTCCGATGGAACTGCTGCTTATTTTCCCTTAGCACATGTGACATCACTGCCCACAGTCTTGTGATATTTAAGGTTTTTAACAGAGGCAGTCATGCTCATCTCTTCTGTGTTCATGCAAGAGAGATTACTGCCTGCTTAGGGACTTGCTTGTCCTGAAATCTTACCTAAGAGACACAAGAGAAGACAGATTATGCAGAAGATCTGTTCATTAGATAACATTATATATATAAATATAAACATTTTTTTCAGGTTTGTCTACTTAAAAAATAACCTTTAGAAATTTTAGGATCTGAAAATACAGTGTAAAGGTAAGAGAAGTTCTGTCCATTAGACAGTCATTAGATTATCATTGGTCTTCTTATTGCTGCAGCAATTGCTAAAATTTTGATTGAAAATATTGAAAATTTGATTGAAAATTCAACAGGATTGAAAATAGATTTGTTTCTTAATTACTATCTTGGGTTTTTTCTACCTCCTCATTACTGCTATTTCCTCATAAATTGAAAGCTGAAAGTGTTAGTCACTTCATTCAATGACTACAAGCAGTTGCACTATCTTCTTACAAGGTAAAAATGAAAGTAGAAATTACAGCTTCTGAACTGCAGTAATTTTCTTTCTAAAGCAAGTTTAGTAGAGAATCTAAGTGGCTAGAAAGCCAAAATTGCATGGGGGAATAAAACTATTCCTCAGGATTTTGATTATATTGCTATTTAATCTATCTTTACTTAACAAGGATGCTTGCTTTTATGCTCATCTTTGTTACTTTGCCCTCCTTCATCTGTAAATTACCACAAGTTTTCCTCACTTCTTCTCAGTTGTCTTATTGTTGGCTTTATGGTGGTTCGCCTCATTATTTTTCTTCCTTTTGTTTGCTAGGGTAAGTGGAGTGTTTCCTCTATTCCTTATTCTTGGCACAGTCTCTCCCTCTCTTTCCTGTTCTTCCCGTTCACCCTTGAAAGCTGTGAATTCCAGGATACAGGTAGTGCACATCAGTCTGTGTATGGTTGGGCCTTAACTTGTGCCTTCACAAATACATATTTATCTCCATCCGCACTCAGTTTTATCCTGATTGACGGTAACGTTAAAAATAGGAAGTATACAGGATTTTTTTTTTGGTCAAATTCTCTCTGATGTTACAGTTGCTCTTGTAACCATTCTGTCAACTATAAATGGTGGTTAAGTGTTTTTTTTTAAATTTTCTCCTGTATTTTGACTGCGTCTTAAAATTCAAGAGAGGCAGAGGAGGAACAGTAGTTTTGTTTTTCCCTCCTTGTTCAAATTAATTTGCATCCTCATGGAACTCTTCTTCCATCAATGGAGTCTCGTTTTTAGTAAAATCTCTTCTTCCTGTGGCATTCATATTTTCATCATTATTGCCTCTAAAGCATCTCTCTCTATTCAGTTGTACTGCTCAGGAATGAACTTGTGATTTATGAACTTTTATGACTTAAATGTGCATCTCATCTTCCCCACTTCCTTCTCTTTTTAAATGTTCTGCTGATTTATTTTGTGTTTCCCCTACCATTGTTCTCATCTTTAACTGTCTAGATTATTTTTTTTGTGGCAGGTATCTTCAAAGGTAGGCATTGCTATGCAGCAGAAGACAAATGGTTGCTTTGAACCACCACACTGTGCCTTTTAGCCACATTATCATGACAGGAGTCACATCCACTCACCTCTGCCCTTGCCACCGTGCCACTTTGTAATTTGCATTATGCCCTGTGGTCACCTCTTCATTTCTTCCTTGTAACAGTGGTTATTTGAATCTGTCCGATGCTAGAGGGAAAGTGCTCCCTGTTACTGAATGTTTCCACTGTCTTGGCTGTGATTACACAGTAATTACAAAGTAATATACTTGTTATATAGAAACAACTCTCAAGCACATTAGGTTTTTTGTATCACTCCCTGGTTTTTGTTGTGTATGTCAGCATATTGTATTGGAGTATTTATTTAGAATTTAGATAATTTATATATAAATGTAACCTACCTGGTGTTTGACGTAAACTAATGGAAAATAAGCATATTATTTGTTTGCTTCCTAGAGCTTCAGTTTGTCTAAAAACAGCTCTAATTTTTGATGCCTCGGGGTCTGACATTTAGACAACCTAAAAAATGGTTCCCTTTTTTCTTTCTTAGGTTTTCAACTCAAAGCTATTACGAATCAGAGAGAGGCATATGTTTCTTGCATTCTTGGGAAGAGCCCAGTATGACCCAGCCCAGCCCAGCTACATCTCCCTGGATCAGCTGGTATCCCTGCCCGATGAGGTGTTTTGTACAGAGATTGCCAAAGCCTCTATGCAGGACTTTGGAAATTTCTTAAAAACACTTTGATTAGTAACACATGTAAAAAATTATAGAATTAAGTTGCAAAATAAACATACTTTATAAAACTACTTCCCTTTAAGGTCTCTTAACTTTTTAATTACTGGTTTAAGAAGTCATTGTTTATGAAGTGTGTAGGATTTAAAGGATTACAGTAATACTTATAGTAACTTAAAAATGTATTTCAGAAGGATTGAGCCAATATGTTGATTGCTACTAATGCAAGCCTTGTAATTAATAACTAACTTAATTCAGAGTGGATAATGCAGCACATTAACAGAAAGTAAATTCAAATTCCTTCTTTTTTGCTTTTGATAATGGCAGAATTTTGGGAGATTGGAAAAAAACTGGCTCGTGACTTATTCCCCGTCTTGCCCTCTGTTATCTTTTCCTTTCACCCTCTTCCCCAAAAGTCAGAATAGCAAGATAGTGTGATAGTGAAGTAATGAGTCTACTTGGTTGAGCTAATAATAATAATGTTATTCTTTTCCTTGTATGGTAGAAAGAATCACACCATTAATATGTGAAGCTCCTCATACAGAAAGGCATTTTATCAATAGGTTACAAAGGTGTTTCTTGTCGAAGCTGGTTGCTGAAATTGGTATCCTAAAAGCTGGTTAGAAATGCCCAAAAAAAACCCCAGCAAACAGAATTTAGGAAAATTATAAAAAGAAAAAAAAAAAAGACGTTACTGTCCCTGAAATCTAGAAGAACTTTATTTTAGTTACTTAGTTACTTTTTCTCTTCTCTGTGTTCAGTTTTTCTCCCCCCCCATACCAATGAGATTCATGTGGCTTTAATACACAAGTAACCATGTGAAAAGAGGCTGTAGTATATATTAAGATGATAAGAGTTGATCAGTTGTAAAAGCTGAAGTAAATTCTGACATTGGGCATCATGGGAGTATTGAAAATACTTAAACTTATCATTAAACAGAGCACGTTAATATGGAATTATCAAATGTGTCACAGTGTATTTGTGAAACAAATTCCCAAACAAACCAAAAAAGCTGCCTAAATCCACATGCAGAACTGTTTGATGCTGTTTAGAAGTTTGAATTCCTTCATTAAAAATAGCTCAGGAAATCTGAAATCCAGATGTTTTAATTTGGATTTAAACTTATTTAATGAAAATGCCTCAATGTTTTAAACCTCACTGTTGAAGCTAAAGATACCAATTTTTATGCACACAGCAGAATAAAATCCAAAAGGCTAAATTCTATTAATAGGTGGGAAATAAAGATTAAAGAGATTTAAAGAATGAGAATAGTAGCGATTCTGGATTATGACTTTGGAGAAATTCTTATTCGTTCAAATTAAGAATTAGAAAAACAAGTGCTTGAAACACATTGAAAAACTACATTCATTGTCTGCAATAAATCTGAGATGATCTCTTTTGTCTTTTTCCTCATGTTTTCTGTTCCATTGGCCTGGAAAGATTGCTTGAAATACTCTATTGAATAGACTGTTCTCGGAGGAGATGCCTAACAAATTTCACGGTGGCTGAAATGTGCTGACTAAGCACTTCCCCCCATTGCCTCCTGTTAAATCAAAGTATCCAAAGTCCAATATGCTTACTTGGATTTTTGACTGTATTAAATGCTAATAACAAACTGTAATCTTCAAATAATATTGTAAAAAATAATGTTCACAGTAAAAATGTTAGTAGAAAAAATGTGGGCTCATAATGTTGGAGTTAATTTTTGCAGATTTTCTCCACTAGCCTTATTACCATGTGCCAAACCATTGTAACAGAAATTATATTACAGAGTTTGTATATGTCGAATGTCTCAAAGTTTGAGCTTTAAATTCCCTTACTATTTTTAAATGTAGGAATGATTGCTGCCAGAGCAAAACCAATTTCTTTGAATTGTTGAATTCACAAGCTTCTGCCGAAATAGCTTCCCCGAACCACGATGAAGAATGGACGGAAAACATTTAAAGGGAGTGCTAAAATGGAAGGGGAGAGGGGATCAAAGAACTTTTTGAGGACCATGACAAAAACTTTGTGGCTTTACGATTAAAAATAAAACAAACCACAGACTTTTCTGGCTGAAATTACCCACTGCGTTACCTACTACCAATTTCTGTGCTCCCCCCACGTCGGCATTTTCTTTCTTTCAGTTCGCAGTGGTCCCTTCCTGCAGGAAGGCCTGGGCAGATGCAGCGCTCTGTGCCACCCGCTCACCTGGCGGCTGCGATACCTGAGCAGAGATAGCTTTCTGCTCCTTGGCGTGACCCATTGTTGCTTTGCTTTTCGTGCTTTACAAAACGAATTTTTATTTTTCTGTTGTTTCCTCTGTCACTTCTTCCTGCCCCCCGGCCAGAGCGCAGGCGCCACCGCCGGGCCGGCATTGGCGGGCGCGCCCCCCCCCGCGCTGTACCCAGGAGGCCGCGCGGCGCCGAGGTCAAGATGGCGGCGAGGGCGCCTGGTGAGGCGGCTGGGGCGCTGACGGGGCAGCGGGGGCGCTGAGGGGGCGGCGGAGCCGGGTCTGTCCCTGGCCCCCTCCCGCCTGCGGTGCTGGGCTCACCTCGGCCCGCGCTGGGCAGCGAGGCGGGCCGTAACGGGGAGAGGGGGACCCGGTGTGCACAGTATGCCCTTGACAGGGACAGTGAGTGCCGGTTCCACAGTCGCCGGGCGAGTCTCCTCAGCGGCCTTCCCGCGGCAGCGGAGGGAGCCTGGCCCCTATTGCTGAGCTTTCTGGGCGCAGAGAGCGCTCGGGAGCACTAGAGGAAGCCTTGGGCTGCTCCTGAGGGGCCTCGGGCATTGCTGTCCTGCGCGGGTACCCCCTCGGCGCGCAGTCGGGCTAAGGTTATTCCTTGTCTGGCCCTGAAGGACGAAGGAGTAGCTAAGCAACCTGCTGAGGTAGTGCTCTAATGAGCTCTTTTGGGGTGTTTTGGGGATGAGCTGGTAAGAAACGGATGACTTAAAAGTCACGTAAAACTGCTCGCCCGCGCTGCGTTGCCCGTGTCGTGCCGTTCGTGGCCTTCTAGACCCCTTTTGAGGTATTTGCTTTATGTGTAAAAGCACCTCTGCCGTCCCAAACCACATTTAAAGGAAGGTGAACGTGCTATATGTGGCATGGAGGTCAGGTTTTGTTTTGGTTTGGGTTTTTTTTGTCTGATTAATTGTTCTTGTATGGTTGGGGGTTTTTGAGGTTTTAGTGTGGATTTCATGGTTGACTTTGGTAGCTCCTTGAAAAAGGAATAGCATTCAAATATCTGGAGAGGAGAGCAGAAGGTTAACAGTTTCTGCTGTTATGATAATATGATAATAGCTACACTTGAAGTCACATAGCGACAGCCAAGGAACCTAGATAAATTATTGGAAAAGCCTGATGGTTTTGCTTTATGCAGACACTATGGGTTTGGCTCATGTAAATGTTACAGAGTCTAAGAGTTTTGTTCTTGTCTTTGATGAGGAATTGGTAGCATTTTTCCAAGTCTTAAAGCAGCCTAATATTCAAATTTAGTGAAATGGGTTAAACTCTTGTATGTAATGAGTTCAGTGTCAGTTATGGGATACTGAGAAGTGGAGGCCAAGTCATGTATGGTCAAATTCAAACTTGATGCAGTGTTACATTGCTGCATGTGCTGGAGGCCAGCAAATATTTGTGTACTGCACAGTACTGTGTAAATGTTGAATTTTACCTTGCTGTGCAACTGATGTTCATGTTCATTTGCATGTTCAGTTGCAGGAGGTGGTCGCCTGTTTGACAGGATTTGCAAGTGGTATTATAATGCAGCTGGATTCAACAAATATGGTAAGTGTTTCATTGAGTTTTAAAAATTGCAAATGTAACAGTTCTCAAACTAGTTATGGTTCATAGCTGGCATATGTACATGCAGGTTGGCATGAGTCCTTTTGATCAAAACTAGCTACTACTTCTGTGGTGAAAAAAGTTGGCAATAGCTTCAATTATTTCTGTTATTTCCATTATTTCTGTGTTTGCTCATGTTCCAGTGAATTACCTTATCACAGCTAAGGCCAAGCTGGGGCAGTTGAAAAAACTTTCACAAAGCAGTCCTGAAAACTCAATTATTTACATTTCCCCACTGAGTCACTTTCACTGGCCAGTGTCTTCTGACCCACAGACTCCCCTTGAAGCTGGAGAGGTTCTCACTGATAGTAGTCAGCCTATCTGCAGTACTTACGCAGAGTATCCAAAGTGCAAAAAGGATTATAGTTGTTCTGCCCTTTGTGTCACCATAACTTCAGCTGGCATCACCCTGGCCTGCACAGTGGTGGAATAGGTGTCAAAACAGGGCTTCCTTAAGGAGAAGAGGGTCCCCTAAGGGTATTGCCTTCAGTTTATTCAGAGTTGTTACCAAGTTTGTTTCAACCATTTAGATGGCAGAACAGTTCTTGTATGACAAGAATCTGAATATTCAGATGCTGCAATTTATTGCTCACCACAATACAAACAAATCTCTTAAAGGAAGTTAACACACCTGCCCTGGGGAAGTTAGAAAAGAATTACAAGAAAACTGTAAATAAGTAGCTTAGATCCTTCTTCCAGAGATGCAGTGCTTAATTCCTCTTTTATAGTGCCTGTCTGCTGAATTTCTGCTGCTTCTTTGGAAATGCAAGTAAAAAATTAGAGAAGCACCAAATTTAATATAGTGATTAAACTAGCAGCAGTGCTCCCTGTGCCTTTGAAATAAATTACAAAACTGAATTTAAAAATATGTGACTCAAATTTTTCTTTTATTGAGACATTACTGCCAAATCAGTCGCATGAGATGAAAACCTTTAACAACAAGTCAGTAGGTATGTTGTAGTAATCACCTTGGAATGCCAAAGAAGTAATGTTTTGTCATATTTTCTTAATACTGAACCTTACAGAAAGGTTGGTTGAGTTTCAAGAATCCTTTGTTGCATAGAAGGTGTGGGAGTGTGATTAGTTTTGAGAAGTCTGGGTGTTTCTTCCTGATTTAACTTCTGTTTTGGAGCTCACACACCAAGATAGAGCTTTGGGTTTCCATAGCTTCATATAGTCAGCAGAGATCTGGTCATCATGAGCAGGGCAGTTTAGAGAAATATTCTTCAGTACTGAGGGAGTCTCATCTGTGGCTGACTGACTCTAATGGATTCAGCGCTCTCAAAAACCCTTTACCTGGACAGTCATCTTTAACAGAGATACAAAATTAGATGCACAGAAGTTCTCTCCTTAGATCCAGAGAAGTTTTTGTTCTGTCTGTGTATATTCTCATGAAACACATTGAATTAAATACCCATTTTCCTTATTCCTCTTTAAGAAAAGGAGTGAAAAAAGTAAATGGAGTCTGTGTTAGGATTGCCTGTTCTCTCTGAGCAATTAGTGGCTCTCCTGGATTAGTTTGACTTTTCTTAATAATTTTGTGCTGGAAGTGTTTTGCTCATGGTACATGGGCAAGTGTCAATCCTAAATCTTACTGAAGAGCATTTATTCAGTGGTACTGTAACTCTTCTTGGTGCAGGGTTAATGCGGGATGATACATTGCATGAAGACGATGATGTGAAAGAAGCACTGAAGAGACTTCCAGAGCACCTGTACAACGAGAGAGTATTCCGCATAAAGCGAGCTCTGGACTTAAGCTTGAAACATCAGATCCTTCCCAAAGACCAGTGGGTGAAGTATGAAGAGGTGTGTGCGTGGAATGTTTCCAGGGTGGAGCTCTTAAATGGCACTGGTGGTTGGGATTTGCATTCTCTGAGGAGACACGTGTTTACATGTTCTCTGTAGTGAACGAATCAGTATCTGATGGAATACCTCTGGAAAACACTTTGGATTGCAGTTTAAAAATCTGGTTTTCTGTTGGAATTAATACATTTTTCTCAAAATGACAGAAGGTTAAGCTGCAGCTCAGAATCACAGTGCATTGTTTGTGTTCAGACAAAATATTTCTTCTAAGCTGTCAGATAAAGAAATACAATGTAAATAGCTTTGGAATTCTTAAAGGAGGTCTCCTGCTTTTCTGATTAATTTCTTAATCTTGCAGAAAATCTTGAGCCAAAGCTTTTATTCATGAAGGTGCCAAAGAAGAATAATTTGAAGGGAAATCATGCATTAAAATAAGTGCCACCTTGTACTTTAAAAAAACAAACTTCACTTTCCTTATCAGATGTAACTAAATTTTATTTTTTGGTAATGAATTGGTTGACAGACTTTGCATGACTGTCCACCTCAGCTTTCTCCAGATTACCTGGCAGAGAGGAATTTTATCGTCAAACTTTTGAGTATAGGAGAGTATAAAGGTATTAATGCATCTCTGAATAAGGCTGTTTCTTTTAGTCTCATATCTCATATTTAGGTAACTGCTGCATTGAATAATTGGTCACATATTTCCCCAAGCAGCAGTTTGGTTTGTAAGTGTTAAATATGGTCAGAGTGTTCTATCAAATACAAGTTTACAGTGCTGTTTAGAAGTTATGCTCAAAAAGAGATTCTCTGGAGTATTATTGTTGAACTTTGAACTAATTAAAGTGGATCTAGTACATTTGAGTATCTGCCAAAAGGAACACTGTTTCTAAAGGCATAACTGGAAACATCACTTTGCCTGCTAATGTTGATGAGGCATTAGGAATTAGTGGTTGCTGCAGTAGAGAACTTGTCATCACAGACTTGGCAGACACAAAGTTTGCATTTTCAGGGTAAGAAAGGCTGGATTTTTGTTCGTTTGTTTGTTTGTTTTCCTTGATAGGTTGGTGTTTAGTCAAACCTGGGAAGGAATTAGAAAGAAGTAGTCTGTAGGAATGACTTGAGATGTTTCTGGACCTTGCTGTAAGTTTAAATATATTTCTATATATCTCTTCTTTTTCAGGATCACCGTTATCTTGAACCATACCTAAAAGAAGTAATCCGTGAAAGACAAGAAAGGGAAGCATGGAACAAGAAGTAACTATTGAACTACTTCATGCAAATATCCAGATATTTCTGTTATTTTAAACATTTGGTTGTAGAAGTCCATAGGGAGGCAGTTGTGGGGCTGAGGAATACTGTTTCAGCTTGTTCATTGAGTCTGATCATCCAACTAAAATAAACATGTCAAACTATAAAAATCTTGGAAGAGTTCTTTCTAAATGTTAACAAGCTAATGTTCAGATCTTTCCTGTGAGCATATACATTACACATTAGCTTAGTGGTATGCAGTCTTCATTCCAGCTTTTGATTCTTGCTCTTTTCATCATACAGCTGTTTTCTGCAGTAGTAGAATTAGGTAAGAAATGTTCAAGTCTGTTGGTGCTAGTTGCTCTCTTAAGTTAAAGATTTGATATTCATTCATCAGTTGTCACTGTGGACAGCAATACTGAACCAGTATTGATGTTACAATGGTATTGTGAGACAGCAGAATGTAATATCCTGTGTACCCCAGCAGATACATATTGTAAAAATGGAAAATATAGATGATTCCTTCATCATAAAATAGGAAATGTTTCACTAACGTTTTATACCATATACATTGTTAAGCCTTAAAAACTATTTTCATGTAAACCATAATGACTATCTCACTTCAGCTTTTTGAGACTTTTTATTCTTTTAAAGAGTAAAAGTGGTATTCTGATGCACTTTAAACAACATAGCACTTAACATAGTTAACTTCTCATGGGTTTTTTTAATCACCTAAAGCATGCTCTAGTTTTTAGTGATTCGTATGCAGAAAATACTGGCCCTCACTGGCTGAAAACCTGGAGTTTAGTCTTCTGTAGTTCAATGGTAGTGTGAATTTGAGGCAGATACTGGTATAAAGCATAAAATTCAGAGCCTGTTGTGTAACCTTCTGCATAAAATACAGAATCTTGCATGATGGCCTCAAGGTTTGCTTTTTTCCTTTTGTTATGCATGCTTGTCTGCCAAATACAACACTCAGTTTACAAAAAGAAAAAGGAGCAAACCACATCTGCAGTTTTGAATTGGTATAACCAAATAATAAAATATTGGATTAGAAGCTTTTAGCTTTGCTCATCACTCTGTTGCTAACATTTCCTTGCTTGCTTAAGTCCCTTACATCTGTAGGATTGATACAGTGATCCCTCAGAACTTGACAGCCTGATGTGGCAAAACAAAATTCTGCAAAAATACCTTCATTGCCAATATTCCTCTAAAGTCTGCATGGAAAATATATTAAGAATTTGAGGTTTCGTTTTTCTCCTGTAGTAAAATCTAATGATTGAACCATACATAATTTGATGTGTTTTTAGGAACTTTATGATTTTCTTCCAAGAGACAAATAGGGCATGAAGTTTCATACTTCTCCTTATAGAATTATTAGAGTATAGCTTTCTAATGAAATTAGAACTATTTCATTATCTCTTAGAATTATATTGGAAGACTTAATTATATAGTAAAAGTAGTACTTTAAAATCATAGCTGGTAAAATTTCTACTAAAGCTAGAATTCTGTGGAATGACTTTTATCTGCTTATTTGACCACAGGTTTTGATTAAAAAAAAAGTCTCTCAATAATTACTTGCTTTATACAAAAGGGCTTTGTTGGCATAAGGTGCTTAAAAATAGGCTGACCTTTGAGGGAAGTGCAAAGCAGCCACAACACAGTTGGCCTAAACCATCTGAAATTACTGACCCCTTTACTCTCAAATGTAACATCTTAAAGAGTCAGAGGTCAGTAGTAGAAGTTAATAAAAGCGTCTTTCCAAGTGTTTTTTTGGGCAGATAAGGGAAAGAGGAAAAAGGAACCTATCCTGTCAAGAGCTAAGCTCTTAAGAGCTTTCCTGTTCACTGAAGCTTCATTTAGATGAGTTTTCAGATGCTTCTGATTTGGATTGATAATTTTTAACTTTAAATTTCCATAGTGTCTGAAGTAGTCTTCTGTCAAAGCATTTTGAAAAATTTACTATTGTCTAGTTGTATCTTGGAAGGCTATTAGTAAGGAAAATGTTATTTGCCATTTTTTGGCAGAGATGGGTGTGTATTTGAAACATTTAGGAGTATCTAAAAATGATGAGGAATAGGGAGGAAGGAGGTTGGTGTAAGAGTGGCATCTATTGCCTGGGAACCAGGAGCTATAGCAGCTTTGAGTTAGAGACCAAACTCTTCTTTAGGATATGTGGTGTGAGATCTGTATGCTTCTGCTACTGGCTAATGAAAGAGTAGCTTGGGAGACATTTCATATTTCACCTTCTGGTGTTCTCCTCTATACACACTGAGTTGACAAGCATTAATCTTATCCAGAAGGAATAGGAGTTTTCTTGTATGTAAGATTTGAATCCTGCTGGTGACAAGTTGGAGGGTCAGCCTGATTCCCAATTTTGAATGCTTGCAGTTATGCTTAAAAATGTCTGGGATGGGAAGGAATGCATTTGCAAAAATGGAGTTTTAGAGCTGTAATTTCACTGTATTGATTCTACCCCACCTGTCCATCTCTCTGTGGGATCCTGCCCTCTGAATCATCCCCGCCTGTGCAGCCATCAGCTTGCTATCTGCAAAGCTGCCTCATTTTAAAGAAAAGCTTAGTAACAGTAAAGAGGGTCAGATAGCGAGGGGGGAAAGGAAAGGAGGGGAAAGGAGGGAAAGGGGAAAGAAAAAAGGGAAAAGGAAAAGAGAAAGGAAAGGAAAAGGAAAAAGAAAAAGGAAAGAAAAAAAAGGAAAAAGGAAGAGGAAAGGGGAAAGGAAAGAGAAAAGGAAAGAAGAGAGAAAAGAGTCTGATGCGGAAGGAAAGGACATAGTGCATTGGAGAACTGGGATTTCTTTATTCTGCTATCACAAGGTTCTTCTGTTTTACTAAGCAAGACACTTGGTTCACAGAAGCTCCATGAGAATTTTGCTAAGTGCTTAATATATCTGTGCTTGGAGCTACATCTGCAGAAGTGCAGAGTAATCACATCTATGTCTGGGTTCAGTTCATCAGTTCTGAAAATATTAGGTGTGAGTGTTGGTATTTATCCATACACACAATGGTTACTACAGGTGGTGGTAGCAGGAGCAAATTTCACAGGGATTCTCACTATCCTCATTCCTCTGGTGGTAAGTGCAAAAATACTTGCATAGAAGATGATGTATTTGTGGCCTGTACCTGGTACTTTCAGAAAGGAAGGATGAGTCGTGCACTGAAGAGGATTGTAAACAATTTCTGAATGAGAAGAGTGCCTGAAATGTGAACCTGCAATTTAAGATCATATCATCATGTACAATGCAACAGCAAATTTTGCATCTCCTTATTCCTGATTTCAAAACCTTCACCTTTGTTAATGTAGTTTTTCGGATATAAATTTTGTAGGGATTCCATAAATTACTGAGGTGTTTTTGTAGTTCACCACATCCAAATTATGTGTGTAAAATTTAAGAGTCTGAGCTGACATTGCTAGTCCTGCAGTTTGATGATAGTTTTAGCTTAAATTATTCTTCATCACTTTTGAGCAAACCTGTGCTTCACTTGAAGTTCTCTCTATTAAATACATAATGAAATACAAGAATACATTTTGATTGCTGAAGATCATGTTTGCTATGTCAGACTGATTTCCTTAAATTTTGAATTGGTCAACCCCAAAACAATGGATTTTTTTCAGCACTGTAACAAGAAACATATGCTTGTTTTACATCCAACTTCCATCTGAAAGAGAGCTACAGCAGATACAAATCCCATAAGAATTTTGATGAAACATTGTGCTTGTCATTTTAGTGGAAGCGTTTTAGCATTAGTATGGTAAACACATTCTGACTTGAGGCATTTTCTCTCTTGATAGCAAAGGTCAAAGATGACCATCAGGATTTCTCCAGTGTTAGCACTCGGGTTTCATGGACTGAATCTGTGGCCAGGGCAAGGGCTGTTCCTGGGCAGCAGAACAGGCAGAGGCAACCCCTCCAGGGTGACACCAGAGTAACTTCACTTCTCATAGCCTCTCTTAGCTGATCTAGGGCCCAAGGGGCTAACATCTTGAAAAATTGTAGGCCATGAACTTCATTATAAACAGTTTGTGTTAGCATCTAAATACCATGGGGCCTGATCCCAAAACTGTTTCCTCAAACTGCTCTGCAGGCCATGTGGAGCTGTAAGCTTGCTTCAGTGTCAAGAAGTCCCTGACTCAGCCAGAGCCTCCGCTGGTGTTACTGGGATGAGGTGACAGGCAAGCGTGCTGTCCCACGGTGCAGAAAGCATCTGCACCTCTGCCTTCCTGGCAAGGTACGTGTTAAGACGTGTCTGTAGAAGGAGCCCTCAATGCCTTCTGCTCACTGGTGATTTAATGCTGACTTATGCTGGCAGCCTGTCAGCTCAATTTTTCTTCACAAAAGGTGTGGATTCACAGTTCCCTTCTTAGTGAATGCTTACATATTTTACATAATATTTACATATTTTCTGGAGCCCAAGTGGGACTATTAATCCTTTTGGCTATCTCTCTTCTGCTATGAAAGATCTGATAAGCTATACCAGGAGACACGAGGACTCAAATTGGTTGCTTAGAGCTTTTCTCTAGGCTGGTTAATGATGTGCTTCAAAATAAGGTCAGTGCCTGACTCCACCTGCCTAGAGGCACTTGCCTGTCTGGGCAATTACTGCCCACCAGCTTCTGCCCTTCTTTCTCCTGTAGTACCTGAGCCCTGGCACTGGATCAGGGAGATAGGCCAAGGGCTTGAGTGAGGAATGCAGGGTGGGTGAGGGGTCGAGGGATTCCCAGGATTAGGGAATCATGTGCAGGGATCTGAAGGAAGTATAAGGGATATAAATTGACCTCAATCCCCTTTGCCTGCTTTAGATGTGCATGCTGAGGATGAGGTGGAGTTGATGCATTTATGTGCAAACACGTGGTTTAATAAATTTTGGGAAATGGGACCACTGAGTATGGACCATGAGCATGTGGAGAGAAGTATGAGGTAATTTGACAAAGGCAAAGGTGCTTTTCAGGCCACTGCAGAGAGTGACACCTGTGTGTTCTAACTTTGGGAATGCCGAGTTCATGGCACTCATTGAGGCTTAAGTTTTCCCTAAAGAATATTCAAAGATCATCCACTGAACCTTACTGTGAGTGGAACCCAAGTTGTCCTTGCCCTGCCTCCAGGATGCCCAGACAGGGCCTCAGTGTCCATCTCCCGTGGCACAACCTCATCTGTTTCTTTCATGAAAACCAGAATATCTTCAAGAAGATGCCCCCACAGTTACAGGGTAGGTCTGAGTTTTGGATGCTCACATCTCTGCTGAAAAGGGGAACACTGGGTCTTTCTCTTCCAAAGCCTAAGCAAGTGCTGGAATTGTTGTTGCTGCTTTATGAGACTGTGCTGCTTTGGTTCCTGTGCTGGGAAAGGACCTGGAGCCTGAAACCTGATCAGAAGGAGGTAACTCAGCACAGCTGGGCTGTGCTCTCCTCAGCCCTTCCTAAAGTGGTTCCCCACTGGCCTGCATGGATCTGGTTCTTTGTGTCTAAATCTTCTGGATTGCAAGGGGTGGCTGCATAATGAGACATGGAGTTAAGCACTGCTGCACTCAGTATTCCAACACCTAAGCCCTTTTATGAAGCCTCATACTCCCACTGCGGCCTAGCAGATTGAAATGATTGTTT